ATCGAAAATAAACTGACAACGCCATGGCTAAAATAGAAAAAGACAAACAGACAAACAATATAGAAACAAACCACAACATAGAAAACTAAAGACTAAGCAACACGAACCCCACCAAAAACTGGGGGTGATCTCAGGTGCTCCGGAAGGGTAAGCAGATCCTGCTCCATATGTGGCACCCGTCGTGTTGCTCATGTTAGTACAAACCCGGTAAATAGTCTAATTCGGTAGGTCACATTCGTGAAAATGCAACAGAATTGTAGTTACGACATTAAGGAATATATCCGCTATCATCTGTGAAACGGATATTCCATAACGGTCAACCAACTCGTGATGGCGTCCGTGAAATTTACGAAGGGATGATTTCAACTTCATCATTTGGAACTCTTGGTTTAATAGCTTCCTTGTGAGCAGCAACCCTCTATGAAGGAAATCATGATAGGAAATACAAGCCCGGGAATATCGTATCAATTGGGAGATATATACTCCGTATGCAGGCGCTGCGGGAATGTTGCTACATAGAAATGGATAGTTCACAATTGGGAAGCTGAAGTCATCTCTTTTGTGGTAAAGTTTTGTTTTCAACCGACCCTCATAGTCAATTTCTAGATGTAAGTCAAGATATGAGGCGGACTTAACTATTTCTGTTGTATCCTTTATCTCTAGTTCGATGGGATAGATGCGTTCAACATATTCACCAAATTTTGAATTATTTAGTGAGAGAACATAAACTTTATAGCGGAAAGTAAAGTTAAAGGATACTTCTAACTTCTTTTCTTTCTTCCTAAGAAGTTACTGTATGAAGTCAGCCTCATGAGAATAAAGGAACAAGTCGGCACGAAGAGGAACACAGTTGGTTCCCATGGGAATGCCGATAGTTTGTTGAAAAACACGTCCTCCAAACGTTACAAATATATTGTCAATCAAGAAATCAAGCATCTTGATAATGTCAGTTTCAGCGAATTTTTTGTTTGAATCAGAGTGATTTTTTACAAAGAAGGATTTATCCATCCCTAAGACAAGATACTTGTTTCTACGTTTGCCTTTTTTTTTAAACAAAGCAATACCAACTCTTTCAATTAGTCTTTTAGTAAATTTCTCCTATCTCGGAGCACCCGTGTCACACAGAGACAGAACTTGCACCACTCGAAAAAAATATTGCAAACTCGCACCACTGAAGAAATGATTTAAATCATAAATTGTCTTCTTCTTCACTGAGTTATTTCCTCCGTTCTTGGAGCACCGTATCACACAGAGACAGAACTTGACTCGCACCTTTCGAAAAAAAAAGAAATACTACAAACTAGCACCACTGAGAAATATTTTAATCATCAGTATTCCAGGTTGTCTTCTTCTTCTCTGAGATATTTCCTTCGTTCTAGGAGCACCTGTGTAACACCAAGACAGAAGCTACTAATTGGACATTTAAACTGGAAGAAAAACTGACAATTTAATAAAAACTATCAACATAATGCATCAGTGCATAAAAACAGTTTGAGAAACACGAACCCAAGCTTTGTATCACCATAAACATTTCAAGTAGTCTTCGAGCCGCGCTCGCGCGGGTTTTTTTCTAGTATTTTAGAAGTATGCAAGCAGTATACAGTATACAGTTCACAGTTCACAGTTCACACTAAAATTAGACGGCTACTATTTTAACTATTCATGTATTTATATAATATATACCGCATAGTCAGATACATGGTAGTAAATATTGTATGAAACAGTAAGTTTCTTGGTTTTTTAATCGAAGAACGTGTATAATATAATAAAAGTCTTATGAACTGACTGTATCAGTATCGGCCCTTTTATAGATTCAAGATCATATGTTTTGGCCCTCAACCCTTTGAGTCTCGGGGCTAATAAGCTGATATTACCTTGAATCCATAACGGGGTCAATACAGAAACAGGTAGTATCAAAGTACTGAAAAATTTGTAGGGAGCACGGATGCGTGTTAACATATTACTGGCTTTTGGAAGGGGTTCTTAAATTTATTTTCCTTCAAGGAGAGACTTAACAAAAATAAGAAAAATGCCAATATTTCCTTCCAGGTCCCCCCAATGAAATGATATGATCAGTCATTTAGATCATAAGTATATTGATCAATATTCATTAAACCTTGATCAATTGTCTCACATGTGCAGTCTTTGCGCTCAACCACAGGTCCACCAGCCTAGGCTTGTGAAACTTATGTCGGGCCTTTAAAAATCATATCCACAGGCCAATATAATTTAACTAAAATTTTCTTAAAATTAAGCTTCAGGATTTTAGATACAAAATTCTATTGGAAAGACTGTGTCGAAAGTCGCGGAATGCAATACATAGGGATTACAAACCAGCGGCAGCGACGGCATAAACTATTTGTATATAAAGCTTTATATTTTATATCGACGAAGTTCAGGTTTGCACTCCGTCCGTCTGTCTCAGTCCATCCTTCATTCCGGCAAATCAGATTTCCACACTTTTTTTCCTTCATGCTTGAAGATATTGATTTGATATTTGGTATATAGTTTTTGCTATCCAAAATTCTTGTATTTAGTTTTGATGTTATATTTGTTATTGTCAAATGTCTTATCGTTTTTAGTTGTAATTCTTACTTTTTTCTGTTCTATTCGTGTGTGAGTGTAAAGATAATTTATACCCAGTTCATTTATAAGATTTTAGTTTGGGTCAACTAAACTTACACTATGTATTTGGTTTTCAGTTTGATTTAGAAGAAAAACCGACATAGCTAGATAATACAATTAATTATCTAATTACTAACACAATTTTATATTAATAAGTATTGTAATTTTCATTGTTATTAAATACATGTAATATCAGTATTAAAAACCTAATCTTGAACTCTATCCTATTTTTTGGAATTTTTTATAAATTTACCTGTGACTTCACTTTTGTGCGTCGATCTATTCGGCTGACATACAATGCGTTGTTCGGCTGTGCTGTTTTTATGTGCTGATCTAGGTTGTTTTACGTATTCGTTCTTATTCTGTAGTTAGTTACCACTTCGGTGTTAACATGTATATCAATTATATGGTCATTTTTATATTTTATAAATTTCCTGTTTGCAAAAATATTAATTATTCTAAATACTAAATATTTTCTTAACCAAGGCAGATAACCTAGCCGTATTTGGCACAACTTTTTAAATTTTGGGTCATCAAGGCTCTTCATCTTTAGGCCTGGCACCTTTGATAACTATTAGCTTGTCGTAATGTACTATTGTATTGTGTATTTGTGTTTCTCAGTCCTGTATGTTCTTCCATTTATTTGTATTGTAGTCTTGTAATGTAATGTTGTCATTTTAGTGTTATATTTAACATTGCTATTAAAGCGGGAGGTTTGGCTATCCACAAAACCAGGTTCAACCCACCATTTTTTCTTAAAATGTCCTGTGCAAAGTAAGGAAACTGGCTATTGTTATCTTATAGTTCGTTTCTGTTTGTGTTGCATTTTAGTGTATCTGTTGTGTCTTTGTTCTCCTCTTATTTTTGATGTGTTTCCCTCAGTTTTAGTTTGTAACCCGGATTTGTTTTTTTTTCTCTATCGATTTATGAATTTCGAACAGCGGTATACTACTGTTGCCTTTATTTATCATGACCAGTTACAGATCTAATTTGATTTTTGTTCCGGTCTGATGATTATGTGCAGAGGTATTGTCCTTGGACTTTGAAAATTCACGCAAGTAATAAGTTTTCCGCGCTTTTTATTTTCGTCATGCTTGATAGTTGGTATATAGTTTACCATGACAAGTTACAGATCAAGCTCGAATTTTGTTCCGATCTGATGATGTTCCTTGGATTTAGAAAATTCAGGCAATTAATCAGTTTTCCACATTTTTTTTTTCATCATACTTGAAGATACTGATTTGGTATTTGGTATATAGTATTACAATGATAAGTTACAGATGAAATTTGAATTTTGTTCGGTTCGGATGATTTTTTTTACAGCGTTATGGTCCTCGGACTAAGAAAATTCACGCTAATAATCAGTTTTCCACACTTTTTTCGTCATGCTTGAAGATTTTGATTCGATATTCATTATATAGTTTAACCATATTAATACCAGGACAAGTTATAGATCAAGTTAGTTGTTCCAGTGCAATGAATTTTTATAACTTGTAGGGGACTATGTATTGCCAGGCAATACTCTCAGAATACTTGTATTAGCTGTTTTGTCGCGGTGAAATACTCCCTTATTATGAGTTATAGGGTAGCTATATTTGGTATATTGGATGCTTGCAAGGTCTACATATATCCGTCAGTCATGGTTAACCTGACCTCAACCTCATTTCATGGATCAGTGACCAATGTTAAGTTTTCGTGGTCAAGTCTGTATCTAAGATACTATAAGCAATATGTCAATTATATTTGGTGTGTGGAATGACTGAAAGGTGTACATGTTCGACTGGCAGGGTTCATCTAAACTGGATTTCATTTTCATGGTTCATTTGTCAATGTTAAGTTTTTGTAGTTTGGTCTGTTTCTAAGATACTGTAAGCAAAAGATTAGCTGTATTTGGTGTATGGAATGAATGTAAGGTGTATATGTTCGTCTGACTGGTTTCATCTAACCATAACCTCTTTTTTTTAATTCACTGGACAATGTTTTAAATTTTTCCCTTTTTTGGGCTCTATCTATGAAACTATAAGCCAAAGGGCCACTACATTTGGTATATATCTTGGAATGATTGTTAGGTAGACATATCTGTCTGGCAAATTTTCATGGTTTTGTCCATTTATCAAATACTGTAAGCCATTGGTCAACTGTAATTGTTGTAAGGAATGATTGTAAGGTGAACATGTCTGTCTGGTAAGGGACATAAGACCTTGATCTCATTTTCACGGTTCATTAATTTAGTCAATGTTCAATTTTGACGATCAGGTCTGTTTATTTGGCACTTTGGCTTACAGTTTCTGAGTATATGCAATAGGCCAACTTTATTTGGTGTATGGTATGAAATTTAATTTAATCAAGTAAAGTAGGCAAGACATTTCAGCATGTGCACTCTTGTTGTCATTTTATTAAGTTAGTTATTTGGGAGTATAGATAACATTGCCTCATGAGAAAAAAAAACTTACCGCGTCCACCTTATTGAAATTCATAATATTTCACAGTGGCTAGCTTAACTGTACTTGCATTTTTCTCTCTCTAAATATTGATACCCGGAAAAAAAGAAACAATGGCCGTCTTTTCCCTCAGAGCTCCCAAGCTCTTTGATTAAGCAGCTACAGTGGATATTTCCGATATCCGGGTTAAACGCAGAAGTATGTTTTTGTTGCGTTATTGTGGCGGTTTGTTTGATTTTAATAATAATAACTATGATATTAATAACAATAAGAAGGATATTAGTAATAATAAGAATAATATTAATAATAATAAGACGGATATTAGTATCAACAAGAATAATATTGATAATAGTAAGAAGGGTATTGGTAATAATAAGAAAAACATTAATAATAATAGTACTAATGTTAATAATGTGATGTTTCTAAGACGTTATAACTATTTGCTGTTGTGAAATGACTATCCAAATGTCCAATCGTGTATCGTTGTATTTCTCATCTCTATTATATGCCATTCTTAAATCAAAAATACAAAGTTTGCTAAAGAACTATGGTAAATGATTAAGTAATTTTATCGGTTATGATGACCATTGAATTGTTACGAATATTAAACAAATCAATTTAGTTGAGAGCCACTAGTATCACATGTTGATACTCCCTTTTCTTGATCAGGGTCAATAACAATCATATATGCTGGTCCTGGGGTTAGGTAATATTCATCGTCTGAATGATCTAGAATAGGCATTTCAGAACTTATTGTTTTATAATTTTCACTGTTTTGATTCCTTTCCTTTGGTGCATCATTCAAATCCTCGTAAACATTTGTGTATGGGTCAGATATACTGTTTCCCGCGACTTTCAAACGTTTGTCGTCGATTTCTTCCTCTACCTCTTGTCCGGATATAGATAGTTGACATGCTTCAGAGTTTTCGTTGCAGATTTCTTCATAAATATCGTCCGATGACGTTGAACATCTTACATTCTGAAGGGCAATGCCATTACTAATAAGAAACAAAATAAAACAAAAATCTACTGAGCAATGAAAGTATTACAGATTTTAACGAAACCATATTATTAAACCTGTAGAATTAAGCGAACTTTTAAATTTTATTATATTAATACCGGACGTGCTCAAACATTTGAGTTCAATTTGTATAACAAGACTAGATTAAATATGCACATATGATAGATATTAAATTCAAATGATTTCAACACCATTAATTTAATTTATAAATTCCATCTACATATTAATTAAACAATGAAATCTACTAGTACATGTGAAACGACACATACAATTATGAAAATGCACATTGTCCATTTAGTTAAGGTGGAAATTACAGTGTTACGGAGTGATATATTTTTAATACAAATAAGTGTTAATAAAGCAATTTTGGACATACTTATCTACTTATCTCACCGACATATTGTCAGTCCCTTGGTACATTGTAGTTGCCAATCGTTCCTTTGATATGATCCATAAAAAAGAGTTTTACAAGTACATTAATATTCCCTAATCGAAAATGGACTGTCATATGTATTTTTTCCGTTTATTGTTAGGGTCATAAATGAAGTCGTTGTTTTTGGTTTCAATTTTTTCATGTCAAGGCCTTTTATAGCCGACTACACGTTATGTTTTTTGTTAAATATTGAAAGCCGTACGTTGACCTATATACTACTTTACATACACGTCACTTAGACACTGGTTACTTGTTTCATTGGCAACCATACCACGTCTTTTTTCATAGGATTAACTGTTTTATGGTAAAACAGTGTCTTTCATAAATTTGTATACATTGTACTATTTAACTCACCTTATTTGTATCTCTGTTTGAATGGTTGTTGTTCCTGTAAAAAATGCAAAATTATACATTAAATTTAAAACAATTGGTTTTTGTTTTCTAATGAAAAATATTAGAATTATAACGTCTTTCTTGGCGATAAGAGGGTCTGGCCTTTTTTAACGAATGCAGTTGGTGTTGTTTCTATCGCAAACGTTCTTTTATATCATGTTTAATAAGGAAAAGGGTAAATTGAAAGGTAAAATCCCTACTGATTAAATGCCTTACAATTGTTTAAAGCTACACATCTTATTTAAACACGAGTAACATGACAAGATAATGATAATTATAATGAGGAAGCTCCTCAGTGACACATGTCGTGTTACTCATGTTTAAATCAGATTTGTGGATATAAACAATTGTAAGGCATCATACATTATCTTACTTACTATATTTTATAAATAAACAATATAGCTTATATCATCGAAAAATTTAAACAGTAAAACGTTTTACTTTAAAAATCTTAGTCATGAGGGTCTGGATGGGGTTGACAGAATAGAGAATAATGGACCACAGAATATAAAGATGAGTACTACAGCAAAATGGGCAAAAAATAAAGAATAGAGAAAAATAGGCCAAAAAATAAAGATTAGAGAAAAATGGGGTATTAATATATAACGAATAAAGGATAACCAGCAAAACTTATAAGGAAAAGAGGATAATGGGCAAAACAAATAAGGAATAGAGAAAAATAGATTAAAAATTAAAGAATACAGAATTGTGTGACCCCTTATCCAGATCCTCATTCATTCATTGGCACATATACTTGAACAAGCTCACATATACGTATCTTAAAAGATATGAACATATATATACCTTTCAAAAATGCTGTGTACTGCCACATTGCACCAGCTAATGCCAAGGCAACAAATACAGTCAGTCCACCTATCAAGAATATGACTGTGGAATTATCTTTTGCAGAATCAATTACTGTAATGATACAATGGTCAATTTATTCTTTAATACATGTATAGTACGTGTAAAGTTTTGAATTACCTCATTTCTTTTTGTATCTCATCTTTTCATGAGGTCTGAACAGATACTTTTCGGGTTATATGCGTGTTTGCCTTTGTCTCTTTATGTTGTTGCATGTGTTTTATAGACATGTTTCTCACCAGAAAAGTTGGTACCGTTAATGTTATTACTACAACTGGGTCGATATCTGCTGGTGAACTGTTAGTCTCCGAGGATTTCACCAGCCCAGTAGCAAGTACATCGGTACTGGCATGAAAGTACAGATTTTGTGTTATTAAAAGTTGTTGTGACTAAATTTTGGTAAGTATTTTAAGTCAAGGAATATATCTCCCTCACGGCAAAACTCTGATTTCTTGCCCGACTTTGATTATACTTTTTTGTCATTTTTGGTTTATAAGCTCTTCGTATTTTTAACAAGCTTTGAATTTTCAAATATTTTGGCCTCGAGCATTTGTTGTCGAAATGTGCATCTGGTTCAGAAAAATTGGTACCGTTAATGTTATTATGTAAGTTTCAAAGTCAACTTTTGAGTGAAAAAACAATTTCTATTCTTATAAATTTTTTATTGGTTTGTAAGTTTGCTTTTATTACAATGACATCGATGTGTTGAGTTGCAAATGTAAATGGAAAAAAAAACTAACCTTCATCGTTTACTTCAGACGAATTCACTGGATACATACTACTGTATAATATGTTATCTGTGTGACTATCAGTTGTCATAAGTGACTCTTTCAAAAGTGTTCTAAGCATAGAATTGTGCGCTGTATTAAAAACGGTTTCCCTACTACCAAATCTGTTCCTTATGAGGCATACAAACCAACCCTCTTTAACACTGTGAGAGTCGAGCAATTTCAGATCTGTTTTTATACAATCTACGTGAACCTTTTTATCGTAAATTGTGATATCAGCAGATGACACAGATGATAAGATTTTATATATCGTCGAGTTTGATTCAATGTGACTTTCTTTTTTTCCGTTATTGAAAAACCAAGATATATCCTTAGCTGGAGAATATGACACAAAGTATGTTGATATTACGATGTTATTTCTATGTCTTTCAACTACGCTTGACAATATTATTGGTGGTCCTGAAATTTAAAGTATTCGTTAATTCTTGTTTTGATTTGCTTTTGTGGGTTTTTGTGTTTTTTCATTATTTGTTGCTTTGGGGTTAGCATTTTTTTTGGAGGGGGCGGAGGGTTGCGTTTTTTTATTGGGATGATCTTTGTATGTTTTTGTTTTTTGTTTTTTGTTATTTTTTTGCTCTGACTTCTTTTTTGTTGTATTTATAGTTGCCTTTGTTTATTCATTATATATACAAGTTAAGGGGACTGACTAGAAGCTTCAGAAAGGTCTTAATAAAATATATGTTTCAATATTATGAAAACAAATCAATGCATATTCGCTAGGTTATGCTCTGTTATTTGAACTCACTTCAATTATCCAAGATAGCATTATCCAATAACGAAAATAAAACGTTGATAAACATTTTAAGTTACTTTTTATAACAAATGCATTTTCTGTTATGAAAATCAAAGTTCTGCCTATAGTTAATAGTGACAGTATACACACTTTTTGTATAGATAAAAGAAAAGAAGGGGGTTTACGACAATGAAGCAGCAATTAAATCAAAATTCAACAAGCTGTCAATGTGTAACTTTTTATAGATAATTCAAAATTGAAGAATTTTTAGCGTAGTCAATTTATTCTTGTAATAACATAAACGGTACCAATTTTTCTGCACCAGATGCGCATTTCGACAATCAATGTCTCTTCAGTGATGCTCGAGGTCAAAATATTTGAAAATACAAAGCTTATTAAAAAGATGAAGAGCTATAAACCAAAAAGGACAAACAAGTATAGCCAAAGCCGGGCAAGGAATCAGAGCTTTGCATGAGGGAGATGCATTCCTTAAATTTACATAATTTCACAAATTTTGTAACAGGAAATTTAAATAACACAAAATCCGTATTTTCATGCCAGTACCGAAGTACTGGCTACTAGGCAGGTGATACTCTCTGGGACTATCAGTCCACCAGCAGAGGCATTGACCTAGTGGTAGTAATAACATAAACGGTACCATTTTTTCTGCACCAGATGCGCATTTCGACAATCAATGTATCTTCTGTGATGCTCATGATGTAAACAACTGTCATACAAGTGGGAGGTTAAGCTATCTATAAAACCAGGTTTAACCCACCATTTTCTTCAGAAAATGCATGTACCAAGTCAGGAATATGGCAGCTGTTTTTAACTTGTTCCGTTAATTTATAGAGTTTGATTTTGTCAGTTTTTGTGGACTTCCTCTTTTTGAAATCGCCTTATTATTTGTTGTTGCGAAATTTGATCAAACATTTTAAACAGAAAATGTTTTATCATAATTTTGTCACCTTTAACAGACAGTTCTGCGTTGGAAGAAAAATTCCATGTTGGTGTTTCCAAAATACATTTATAAATGCCAGTATCCATGTAGTTACAAAATTCGAAACGTAAGAGAGAGACGCCATCTTTTACAGTACATGGCAAAGACCGTATGAATTCATTATTGTAAAAGTGTTCCCAAACACAAGACCATTTGGTGTATAAATTCGTATTGACGAAGCAATTAATGGATGTTGAATTCCCTGTGCTGCAACTGTATCTTCTTGGAGATGTCAAAACCCGGAGGTCTGTAAAAAGAAAGTGAACAGTATAATGTAAGGAGATGTGGTATGATTGCCACTGAGACAACTTTCAATTCAAAACAAAACAAACTGATGGACACAACAATAAATAAAGATACAGTCGTCAAGAGTGATCAGAACACAAAACGTTAAGAAATATGTCACAAATACCTGGCCAGTGAAGCACTACAACAGAGAAACTAACAGTTTAATTTAAGCAAATTACATGAAACGAAAGAAAAACAATGGCAGGCGGCAACCAGTGTGAACCATCGGACTACACGCTCAATCCTGCCATCATGTTTTTTCTGAATTGCTTTAATTATGGAATTACACCAGTTTTACAGCATTATGCTATCGCATATCGATATGAGTAAATAAATGGAGACATGGAGTATAATTGAATGAGACAGCAACTAAACCATAAAAGGAACCAAAAGCCATCTAGCGGGCAACAAACAGTCTTCAGCAATAGGCAGCTGTCTATGCAATTCGTTAAGCACTACTTATATAGTCACGAGTCTCAGAAAATATGAGAAATAATCAAAGATCTGCTATATACTCCCAGTTTTTAAACTCGTTTTTCAGATACTTTTGTGTTTCTACTGCAGTCAATTTGGAAATGTTCTACTCATGTTTGCGGTCCCATATATAAGGTTCTAAAACAAAAACAAAACTACTGAAATGCCTTTAAATTCAGGAAACTTATACAGGATTTGAATCTGTTGTTATAATTAACGTAATTGTTTTGTTATTTAGTCGATTTGTTTGTTTATTTTATTGATTTATTATAAAAAAAAATAATATACTAGTAACCCTAATTCATTGCAAACAAAACAATTTGACGTTACCGAATTTATCGCTATATATATTTGACACTTATCTGAACATATTTTAGAATGGTTTTATAATAGAAAAGAAAGGATATGGGGTATCCATACATGACACAAAATCAGTACATGCACAAAATAAATACAAAAATCAATGGAACAGCTTTTATTGCTAACCTTTACCTTAAAGTAACACTGAGCAAATAAAATCACCTCACTGCAAGTTTAAGAAGGCCCTAGCTTCGGTTTATGTTCAGATATTTTTTTCGTGTTCGTTATAGAATACGACCCATTTTTTCTAGATATGTAAACTGGAACCGATTAATCCACAAACTGAATCAAGCTCCGAAAGTTGTATGAAAAGCTTGTGTCAGAATTCCAGTTTACACAACAACAAACACTAAATATGTTTAATCCTTATAATTTTCAACCAGAACATTTGTAATTTTTTCTTTCAATTTCAGTTTTCTTGAAACATCAGGATTTCATTGATTTGTAATGCGCATGAGTATATTACAGCGAAATCGACATAGTGTTACGAATGTAGATTTTGGTAACATCTGAAACAAAGGGCAAAATCTAACGTACCAATCACATTCAAGTATTTGAAGATATGCAAATCATATAAGAATTATATCAAAATGGCAGTTTCAGATTAAAACGTATGTACGACTGCAGAAATATAACAGACTTAGTCGTTCATATTTTTTTTTAAACCGTATATGAAAAAAGAGGCAGAAGATATATCAAGAATACATTCAAAACTCATAAGTAAATAAAATACTGACGCCATGGCAAAAACACATCATAGAAAACGAAATTTTTAGCAACACGAACCCTAACAAAACCTGGCGTGAATTCAGGTGCTCAGAAAGGGTAAACAGTGTTTGCTCCACATGTGGCACCCGTCGTGTTTGTCATGCAAGTAGAAATCTACTAGTTTTATCTCAAGAATCTACAAATGTCTTTGGTTTTTTAGCTATTTGATTGCTGTCGTAATAAAATAAACCCCATATACGTCTCCTTTTTTTTTCAGAAATATAATAATAATTTTTTTTTTTTATATATTATGACCACTGAGTAACTATACCTGTATAAGTAAGCGTTATTTCTACGTGAATACTTCCAACTCTGTTTCTTACACTGATTCCATATTTTCCAAAATGATGATGAGTACTTGGAACTATCTTCCCCTCAATGAAAAACATGTCACTTTGTGTTACTTTAACACTCAATAAACCTACTTGAAGACTTTCTTCACTTGATAGAGTCCATGAAGCAGTAGGTTTTTCAAAACTTCTTATCGGAATTGAAATATGTGCTGGTTTTCCGATTTCAGTGCGAAAAACGAAAGGATCATTTGAAGCAAGTTCTGGCTTATCTGAGGTAAAATAGAAATGCTTTTAATAACTTTTTTTCATTTTTCTTGCTGATACAAAATGTATCATTTAGGTTAGTATTACATTGCTAGATGTTTACGTGCTAGTCAAGGGCTTTTTTTATCTCCTTGGTGCAAAACGTTTTCAAAAAAGAAAGCACACTTCTATTTTCAGGATATTCAAAGCACGCTAGCGTTTTTCTTCACTAAGAAGCAAAATAACATTACAGGATTAAGTCATTGCAGATTGCATGAACTGTTCATAGGATTACTTTGGTACTAATCATAAAAATAGCAAATACAACTTATGATAGTTAGTACCCAAGCGAGAAATAAGTTATATGCATGGATACAATTTTTTGTATGATTATTATTTTTAAACCTCTATCACAGTAATACTCTTGTGCGACAATCTCACATTGCTGACGTGTTGACTATGTTATGTTATTATATGTAAGTGTGTGCTAAACTATCAATTTACTATCAGCATGTCAACACTGAGGTTGTGAGTTCGAAAAGTTTCTGTTGTTGGTTATCGTGTTGTCTTTTGATGAAAATAAAATCATCTAAATAAAGTACTCACATGTTACAAATACGTCTACTTCAGCATTCCCTATCCCTACTGTGTTGTGAACGTTACATCGGTAAGTCCCTGTGTTTTTTCTGCTTAAATTGGTTAAATGTAAAGTGCCATTTAATGTAACTTTATCTGAAGATTCACTCAAAATAGTGTCATTATTAAATATCCATGTCAGGTTATACGGCTTGACGTTAGTTGTATATTCACATTTCAAAACAATGTCTTTCCCTTTAGCAGCTTCAATTACAGTAGAACCAACAGGTTGAATAGTTGTATATGGTAGCTCTATAGAAATTAACCAAACAGATAATAAATGTGTATATATGCAATTGAATTTATATTACAAAATTGTTATAAAAAAATGATAGATTGTTGTTTGCTTAACGTCAAAAGTAAAATATTACATGCATCTCTAGGATGATATAATAAATTATACAACGTTCACTTAGAACTACAAATGTTTATTTCTGCATACAGGTGGTTTTATCAACAAGATTGTTTTGGATAAAGTTTAAAGTGTGGCATCTTCCTGCAATGCTTATTCGCAGTCAGTCACAATGTCACCATCGGAAAGAGGACACAACCAGAAAAAAATTACAGATCAGACGACTACTAGTATACTGCTATCTTAAAATCAATCTAAGACCACAAAAACATGTCGCTAGCGAGTTGAGACAACGGGATATTGTATCGGTCGACCAATAATTACCTTACTGTCAGTGTAATAGTTAAACTAACTCTGTACAAATTAGATTTACTAGAATTTCTAGTAGAATGAATAGAAAGACAAGGAATTAAACGATAAAGATTAGTTAAATGACAAATATATAAGCCACAGTGTCTCTGTTTCTAGATAAACTTGCACATTGTACATATACAGGCTATTTGTTTCCATTGTGTGGACATAAACAACCAAGGACAAATTGGTAAAAACAAAACAACGCTGCTAACATAATAAAATTATTCAATTGCAATTTTTGATTGTTCTGTTCTTTTTGTTGGATTTTGTGCACACACAAAGATGTAAGAAAAACACAATGACACGACACATTTGAGAAAATATAACTCAAACATCCATTTACTGAAAATAAAATAATTTTTATCAGCTCCAACACAAGTGAGAAATGCAAGCTAAATGTCACGTTTATCGTAGTTTTGGAATGTCGTACAAATGATTGTGAAAGTCAACAATACATGTATGGTGTCTGCACACAAGCGTTTTAATAGTTTACCTTTCACGTAAATTTGGACATGGTATTCAACTGTAGCTTCTGTGTTACTATTGTTTGCTAAACAAACATAGATTTGTAAATGGTCGGCAACCACAGGAACAAATTCATACACAAGAAATTTAGGTCCTCCAAAAACCAGTATTGAGTCATTATGTACCCACATCATATTTTCAGCAGGGTTACCGCTCTCTACAGTACATGATAGCAGGTTACTTTGACCCTCATTTACTTCTAGTAGCCCATCTGTCGAAGTATTCATCACTGATATATTGCTTGGTGACCCTGATATAACAAAGAATTAGTATGTTAACTTTTCGCCACGAAACAAATTGAATTCTTGTGATACAGGTATGTAGTTAAACCAAGAGAAATTGAGTCATTTTACTTACTTCCTTAGTAGTGTTACAGTTTTTAAAACACTTAACGAATTGGTGCGTCCGTTTGGCTGTGCAAAATGTGGAAATTGACAGCCACGTTCTGTAAGAGTTAGACGTCTAATACAATATCCCGTGTAGAGAAAGTTACGCGCTTTCTGTACGTTAATAAACCTTGCAACAACTCTCTGATATCACTAACTAGCAAAGCCTTTTTATCCGATTGCGGCCGATATTTTCAGCCCTTCATTCCGCTTGACCCACATTTTATAAACTGATTGTATTAATTGTTAATGTGTTCCCGTACTGAATGTGCGAAACAAAATGTTTGCCACTGGTCTTAAAGCAAACAGCAACCAATCAATCAATGAAATCGTGAGAAAATTTGTTACTAATTTACGTGTAGTATATTGAATAAACTTGTAACAAATATTTTAAGAAATGTAAATTGTACAAAAATTTAAAAGAACAAGCCTATAGATATTAGAAGATGTGGTATGAGTGACAATGAGACAACTCTCCATCCAAGTCACAATTTGAAAAAAAGTAAACCCTCATAGGTCAAAGTACGGCCTTCAACACGGAGCCTTGGCTCACACCGAACAGCAAGCTATAAAGGGCCAAAAACATGACAAGTGTAAAACCATTCAAACAGGAAAACCAACGGTCTAATCTATATAAAAAACGAGAAACACTCATGAACCACAACAACAAACGACAACAAAAGGTTCCTGACTTAGGACAGGTGCAAACAAATGCAGCGGGTTTAAACATTTTAACAGGCGCCAACCTTCACCCTAACCTGAAACAGTGGTAAAACATTGCAACATATAAAGACACTTTAGTTTGGGTTAGGTTTCAAATCGCCGAATGATTCATAATTTCATAGATTTAGCATCTAGCAAAACTATCTCCATCCCACTTTCCTTTGTGATATGTTTTTAGGTATCATTGAACTGAACAGTATAAAATAAAACGATGATGTTTTTTTTTATTGCGAAAATACGCCTATATGCCACGTGCCTTTGTCATTTTATTTTGAAATCACCAAATGAAACACAAGACCGATTTTTTACTGTTTTTGAAACACTTCAAATGCCACTATCGCAACAGGATCTACCTTCCTAGTTCTGTTTTAAAGGGATTCATGTTTATTTTACTTTAGTGTTCATCACTAAAATTGAGAATGGAAATGGGGAATATGTCAAAGAGACAACAACCCGACCAAAGAGCAGGCCACCAATGGGTCTTCAACGGAGCGAGAAAATCCAGCACCCGGAGGTGGTCCTCAGCTGGCCCCTAAATAAAATTGTGTACTAGTTCAGTGAAAATGGACGTCACACTAAACTCCAAAACATATAAATGAACTAAAATTAAAAAACGTACAAGACTAACAAAGGCCAGAGGCTCCTGACTTGGGACAGGCGCAAAAATGCGGCGGGGTTAAACATGTTTTGTGAGATCTCAATCCTCCCCCTATACCTCTAGCCAATGTAGAATAAAGAAACACATAGCAATACGCACAGTAAAACTCAGTTTAAAAGAAGTCCGAGTCCGATGTCACAATAGGTAACAAAGGAAACTAAGCAAAATGACAATGATACATAAATTAACAAAGGACTACTAGCAATTACTGACATGCCAGCTCCAGACCTCAATTAAACTGATTGAAAGATTATGTCTTCATCATATGAAAATCAAGTACAATCCCTCCCGTTAGGGAGCTGTATGGCTTCCGTTTCTGTTGCCAATTTAAATGGTAATACATTTTTATCAATTACCAAAATATCAAATAAAAAAACTGCTAAATTTAAGGAAATATAAAGCAATAAATTATTAATTATAGATTTACTGTAAATTTCTAAATAATAGTCGACATGTACGGCTGATGAACCATTAATGTTATTACAACGGTAGTGTCCTTCATCTGCAGCTGAAAAGTTGTTGATTTCCAAATTGTATTCTCCAATTCTATTGTTTCCAGTAATACGTAGTTTTTCATAATTAGTCAGTATATTCTTTAGATGTGACCCATCACTGTAAGCTGTTAGAGATTTTGGTCCAACCCATTGTGCTTTGTGAATTGTTGATTTGAATGGACAAATCAGTGTCGTGTTTGATCCCTCTTTTATATACAAAGTGTCACCATTTGTGTTAGTATACAGCAGACAGAACACTTGAAAAAAAGTAAAAAAAACATGGTAAATGACGGTAACAATTGTTTGTTAACCAATATGACACTGATACGCTTGGGTTGTCAAGGTTGAAAAACCTAGTAGTTCTTATTCAAGTTATTAACATTAGCTAGCATCATGTAAAATAAAGAAATTAACGAGTAATATGCCTTGTGGACTTTTTGTCAAAACGTTTTTCTTCCGCAATTAGCAAGTATTAAAGGACATTTATCTTGAAAATAAGAACTTCGCTCAAATTACCCTCTCTTGCGATGAAAAGACGAGACTGATGTAAACATAAACATGATAAAAGCAGTGTTTTGGTATTCTTTTTGATCTGTTATTACCGTATTTTAAGTTTGAGTGAACGCGACTGTTGAGAAGTCTCATTAAATCTTTTTTTTTTCCTTCTATCAAAACTTTTTGATGTTGGTATTGCGCATTTTTTCGTGTGAATACATTTTTTATTATCAAACCTACCATTTTCGAGTGTAAAAAGGATTTTTCTGTTTCAAAAACATTTTGCCGATATATTTAAAAAAAATGAACAATTTGTTTCTATCGAGGAAAACTCTTACCTTGTGTGACAAAAATGACTCTTTGGATAACCATGATGCCTCCTATTATTAAAATTATTTACAAATGTAAAACAACATAAAAACATATATAATTACATAAAAACAAGTATATTATATTCAATATTTATCAGATCATAAGAAAAAGAGAGAATATGGGTTTGAAGTACACTACATACAAGACAAAATTACGTCAAACTGATGGGAAAGTAGCTGTAATGAGACCTCTAAGTTAACTTGTCAGAAATATTTCATGTGTTTAAAAGTGCTTAGTAAGTCAGATTTTGTTTTTTTCTGTATAATAGTTTAACCATTTATATGTTTAAGACTGGTAAAAGCAGTTGTAAAACGGGCTCATGTTATTTGGTTTGATATATATGACGTGAAATTCTTTTTCGGTTAAAAGGATTGAGTTTTGATTATTCTAAATAAAGACATTTTTGAGCTGTCTGTTCACCGAAGGTGCCTACAGTTACTATTATAATATAATGTTTGCATTTTTCTTGTCAGATATATGAATAAATGAGTCGTATAGAGTTCAAACTCTAAAATATAAGATCATAATGTTGATTGCAATAGAAAAGAACAATTTACTGCGAACAACCAAATCTATATCATAGTTTAGTGTTATTTATACTATTTATTTATTAGAAAACTACTTTAAATCGGATGATCATGAAGAACGATTATTTAATAAATTGAATCTTCATCTATGTAAATCAAGGGCATTGCACCCGTATTACAATTGTGTAACTAGTGTATCAAAACATGTTTATCGATAAAAGTTTTTTAAAGAAATTGTTTATTGACTTATTTCTGATTTAACACAAGCCCCTTACACATGAAAACGTTAAACACATTTGCCATGTTCTACAGCTTTCCAAACCTCCTATTAGACAAAGAAAAATCAACACTACTGCTGTCGCTCGTGTTGGATGGAAGATGAACACAATATGGTGTGGGGACCATCTGAAAAATTATAAACACTCCATCATTTTTTTTTTTTTTGTTAACTATATGTGCGTGTTTGATACCGCTGGGGTTAATCTTAAATAATTATATGTATTAAAGTACACAGGAGAAGATCAAATATATTTTTAAGAACCAAAAAAGGTTTAATAAATACATTTTTAGATCAATTAATATCAATCTTGTGAATAATTTATCTTGTTTTAACGTTATGTAAACCAATGGTAAAAGGGTGTAGTCGTATAACTACGGAAGCCATAAAGGGACACATAAAAAATAATTAGTCCGTGATCTCGGATTGGTAATCCGTGATCTCGGATTGACAATCCGTGATCTCAGATTGCTAATCTGTGATCTCAGATTGCTAATCCGTGAGCTAGGGTTGCCAATCTGTGATCTCGAATTGACAATCTGTGATCTCGGATTGATAATCTGTGATCTAGGATTGATAATCTCGAGGATTAGTAATCCTGAACTGAATAACTATGACAATTCAATCCTACTATTTATTAGAGAAAAAAAAAACTCACTTTCACTGAAAGCGAGCTCAAAATCATTAAAAACAAACAAATCATTCAAGTTTATTTATACACACGGAAGTAACTGCGAGTACTCTAATATTGGTTCTTTGTGTCGTTTGTCTTCATTTTAGTTGATATTTTGTGCTTCCTGTCAATATAATTAGTCAAGCCATTTCCAACTGATTTTTGAAGTTTTAATTATGTTGTGCAGTTACAACTTACACCACTGTCCAAGGTTAAGAGAAGGGTTTAGCGCTCACAAGCATGTTTAACCCCGCAAGATTCGGTTTGAACCTGTCGCACTCCAGGATCCTCTTATTCACACTGTTTGTAAGCACAGCAAATAAAAGAATTGAACATAAGTAAACAGAAGTTGTCAGAAAAGAAATAGAAACACAAAATATTGATGGATTTAGATTTCCCTCCAAATTATGTAATCTTAGCTGATAAAAGTTATCGAACCGTGCACCAATTGTTACACCATATAAGAGACATCAATTAAGACGGACAATGCCGAGGGGAAAAAGGAAAAGTAAAAAATTAAATAAAAGAATGTCTGAGTGTCGTGTGTATGTTGAACACGCAATAACACGTTTAAAGACTTTCTGGTTCGTTGGAACTTTATGGAGACATCAAAGGAACCAACTAAATCAAATAGGTGAATTGTGTGCTGGACTAGCCGATAGACAAGCTGAGTTATTTTCGTATTAAACAAATGTTACCCAATCATAAAATGCTTATGTTACTAGGCAAGTAACCACAAAATCCCAAATTTGCATTTAAAAATAAAGTATCGAGCATTCATCTTGTGTAAAAGGAGAACTTGTGTTTTCAAAAATAAATTGTTTTATTCTGATTTTTTTTTTAATCGTTCCGGAATGAGAGTAAAACAATAGTTTTTTTTCCACAAGGAGTTAAGGCGGGACAAAAATCTTGTTCCATTAGTTTTTTGCAAGTATGTTGATTCCGAAAATAATATAAAAACATCCCCCCCCCCTTTCCACAAATTTCAACAAAAGATAAAGATTTGCCTTATTGTTTTATTATTTTTTTCTTTCTTTAAATAATTACAATTACATGTATGGTTATAATTACAATAAATATGGTACGTAATTGACTTAAAAATTCACATTTAATGAATAATTTTGGGTCTTTAAAAATGCTCGATTGATTATGTCTTGTACGCTATAAATAACGTATATCAGCACTATCAAACACGCCCATACAGGTAATTAAAAACGATAGAGTATTTATACTTTTAGAGATGACCCCCACATCATATTGTATTCATCTTCCATCCAACACGAGCGCTAACAGTAGTATCGACTTTTCTAACACGTCTTTTTGTATCAGTGTGGTATATTGTGTAATAAATTTTAATGCTGTCTAAGATCAAACGTTCAGTAGTCCATTGTTCTGCTATATTCCTTTTTGTTTTTTATATTGCTAATAAATCATATAACCTAAAACAATATTCAACATAATAAACATATTTTAGAAAGGATGGATAATGCAAGGGACAAAATAAGATAATAAAATACAATACCTATTCCTTTCGTTCGGGAATCATTGACGGATGGGAATAAGGAATGTGTCAAAGAGACAACAACCCGACTAAACAGCAGAAATCAGCCCAAGGCCATCAATGGGTCTTCAACACATCGAGAATATCCTGCATCTGAAGGCGAGCTACAGCTCACCCATAAAAACAATGTTTACTACTTCAGCGAAATGGACACCACACTAAATCCGAAACTTACATATGCACCAGAATGTTGAAAGAAGACACAAGACTAAGAAAGGCTAGAGGTTCCTAACTTGGGACAGGCGCAAAAATGTGGTGGGGTTAAACAGGTTTTTTGCAATCCCAACCCTCCCAAATGCCTCCAGCCATAAACAAAGGACTACTAGCAGTTACTGACATTCCAGCTCCAGACCTCAAGTAAACTGATCGATAGATTATGTCTTCATCTTATGAAATCAACAACAATCCCTGTATGTTGGACTCAAAACGTCTAACTTCCAGCATATTTCCATGTGGCCTCATGTGCTCGTCTCACTGAGAACAATTGAACTAAACTTTGGTTCTTTTTTAAATAGAATAACTTATCTAGAAATGCATATGTTTCAATTGTAGATTTTACTATTTGAATAGATGAAATTGACCAAAAGTAAAACGAATACTTACATTCAAATATCAATTAATCCAATACTTACCGTTAATGTTTACCAAATAGATACGTTGTCATTGTATATTTCCGTAATAAAAATTCTTTTTCCGCTAATTGTTACAAATATGTGTTATTAGTTCCAGTCACAAAAACATCCTTCTCATGCTAATGATTAATTGTTAATTACGAAAGTATTTTCCGCTAACGTTTGGCTTATTTGATGTTTTTTGTCTGTTGTAAATTTGTCATGATTATAATTATAAGGTACAACTTTGGCTCGATGACTTTTTACTGAAAACCGAAAAAAATAATGCATTTATCATTTTTACTTTCTGAAATATTAGTGAATTAATTCTTTCAAAAATATTCCCATTTGTATAGAAAGCACCTAAAATCGGCGAAAAATGTTGTTAAATTTGTATTGAAATCATCAAATCTCCAATAACCTGTGTATAAAATTTTCTTTAAAATTGATATACTGCTGATACACAAAGTTCCGTTTAAATGATGCTAAATAAAAATAAGGTCACCAACGTATGGTAAGCTGTAAAAAATCTTTTTCCTTTTGTGTGTTTCATAACCAAATAAGTAATAGATTGGTCAATACACCCAAAACGAAGTCAGTGGCCAATGAATATTTTATTTCAATACACCAGTTCCGGGATATGGTTGTTAGTTGAAAATGTCATGTGACTTCCATCACCACATGACCAAAATGAAGGCATCGTCACTTCCAACACATGTTGAGCAAACAGGTGAAAAAGTTTGATCTTATACTGCACAAAATATTTGGAAAATTAAAATCTAATAAGTTGGTCACCCTCCCTTCAGTCGTACGGGAATTAAGATTACGTACTTACGGAACATACATTATCTCTAGACTACCCTGCAAGTTTCTGAAAGTGCCTGAAGCTTTAATAGAGTAGGGATACAGGTGCGCCTTCTATCTGGTAAATAAAGGAAGTCATAAAGGCGTGCGAAATTGACGATCTTTTCCGGTGAAAGACATGATTCGAGAAATAGCATATCGAACAGACATTTAGGTACCACCAACATATTATTTTGTTTTAATCTTTGCATTTGTTCTTGCTAAGTTGGTCATTTTAAGACACATTTCGGAACGTTTTCGCCGCTGTTATTGCTTTCTATACATCTGAGTCTAATTTGAGAGCATTCATTTGGTTTTATTTCAGAAAATAAGTGATAATGGCATTATTTTTTTTGATTTTTATTTATATTTTAACGAGTCTTAGTTGTATACAAATTTTGACCAAAATCTGTTAAATAGCCCATTTTACTGTACCTGGACCTTAAACTAGCAGCCACAGTGAAATAACAAACGTTTTTCACTCTTTGATGGACTTTCATCAAGTGTTCATATCAATTTTACTGTTTGCAAGGGTGTGGTAACTTTTGTTGAGCAGGATCTGCTTAAACTTTTTGAGCGCCCGAGATCATTCCTGCTTTTTTTATGGGGTTCTTGTTATTCGGTCTTTTTCTATGCTGTGTTTTGAAGACTGTTGTTTGTCTTTTTGTGCAATTATAGCATACTAAACCTATACATCATGTTAAAAGATTAATTGAAGCAAAACCGAAAAAATAATATGAAGGGAAATGATTAAATTCGGACGATTTTATACCAGTTATTTCCCTTTTCGAAAATTCGAAGCAATAACAGCATTGTCAGATATATACATGCAAATTCCAAATGTCATATGTGTTTCACTTTAACCCAATGATACCTTGCTAAGACATACAATATATATAAGAGACTTTGTCAGAAACGAGACGATTACAGTAAGTGTCTACTGATGAGTGACAATTTTACAAAAATGAAAGACGTTTCAGAAAGAAAAAAAATAGATTTGCTTCTGTAAAAATGTTAAGTTATGATTATGCTGATTTAACAAATCTTTGTGGGAAAATTAATAGCATCAATGCATGAAAAATATCAAATCTAAATTTCGTATATATAATGATGTGTTAACAAATAAAAATATGTCAAAGAACAAAAATAGGCATAACATATAAACATATATATAATAATTCACATGAGTCATATAATTTACTTATTTTGTCACACAAATTTGCGTCATGAATATACAAATGTGATGATGTGGTATGATTGCCAGTGAGATAGCTATCCTCCAGATACCAAAATGACGTACCCCATGTATATCCGAATACCAACAATAATTCACTAAGAAAACGACAAATCATACAATCAGTTTAAATATTTCTATAATTTGTTTTTATCTATAATAATCATCGTTTCATTCGAAAGTTTAAAGGTTGATAATTGCATGCCCATATTGTTAGATAGGTAACGATTGAGCTATCCCCTAAAATATAAAAACTAAAATAACGTTTCCTAAAGATACAACATGTGAAAACCACGTTTATTTATTTTGTTCAGATATATATTCCCTGTATTTTACGGGATGGGTATTTTTTATCCTGTATTGGGCACAATTATTTGTTCTCCATTTCTCCCTTTTTAATATGGGCCCGTACCTTTAATGATACTTATAATTAAATGATAAATGAAATTTTGTGTTTTACTTTTGTCAAATATATCATCACAGTTATTCTCCAGCATCATTGAAGAAACATTTATTGTCAATATGCGCATCTGGTACAGTCAAATGGCACCGTTAATGTTATTACACTCTAAGTATGATCTACATCAATTCAAATATTATATATTTATGCTACAAAGAACATTCTGCATAATATAAGCTGTTTATTTTGAACCAAGATGGAAATTTGATTTTCATCATGAACCTCTGATCATACATTATAATATTTATAAATTAAAACTTTAGGATGTTCGCTAAACTGTTTCAAAATAACAAGCTTTTTAAAAGACTGTTATAAATTGATATTATATAAATAAAGGAACTAAAAAAGCAGATAAAAATGAAGGGTCCGTGTGCTTATTAACGAGATATAAGCCATTGAAAATTTGGCGAGAAATAATTATCTCTAGACTTTTCATATATTTAAAACTGGCACCCTTTTTCTTTAAAATGTTATAAAAAAATAACAAGGATTTTATAGCATTTTCAAATGTGGCTTTTTAAACTATTTGTAATCAAATTATGAAAAGAAAAGTAGGGGTTAGCGGGGAAAAATTTCTAATGGCACTACATGGATAAAACCAGAGGATTCCAAATATCTGGCAAAAATTCAAAAACAAGAAGAGCGAACATCCTTTATTTGAAAAGTATCAATATTAAACAAATACATGATCATTCCTTCCGTACTCAAGATGACTGTTCTTGTTGGGGCTCCAAAGGAATTCTCACATCTGGTTCTTTGTTCCATGGTAGTTCGATACGAGCTGTCTCAGTATATCCAAATAGGAGATCGAAGATGGACTTGATATGGCCTTTTTGTTTAATTATTATGGATATCATTATAACAAAAACCATAACTAAAATCATGATTACAGCAATTACCAGTGCTATAAGCCCGTAATCGTTTAGGAAATTCTTATCCTTGTGTGGAACTGAAAATTAAAAGGACAATATCATCAATGTTTTGCCTTCTTTTACTTTTCTAACAATGCATGTAAAAAGTAAAAATAACAAAAATTCCGAATTCCGAAGAAAAATTCGAAACGGACAGTCCATAATCAAACGGTAAAATCAAAAGATCAAACGAATGAACAACAACTATTATATTCTTGACTTGGTACAGGCATTTTCGTATGTAGAAAATTGTGAATAAAACCTGGTTTTGTAGCTAGCTAAACCTCTCACTTGTATGACAGTCGCATACAATTCCATTATATTTACAACAATGTGTGAACAAATAAAAAAGACATAATGTTTTATTTAAAGCAATATTGTGTCAAGGGTGTTATTAATGTACATGTATTTAATTTCGTTGAAATGTTGCTACATTCACCCGTCTGCTCAAATACTTTTCAATCAATACATGTAAAACATATAAAGATGTTACAATTATACATTTTATAAAGGTGATATCTGAAAAATGCCAAAATATATTATCCACGTTTTTTGGTTTTTTTTTATATTTTAACAATGTATTATGCATACCATACTTTTGACTTCTAGATACGACAAGAGGGGAATTAAATTATCTAAGTAAAAATATCCAGTCACTTATCCTTTTTGATATCACAGTACATTGGAATTTTCTCATAAGTGTCGTGACAATGGTTTGAAAAATAAATGCTTTCTACTCCTACGAAGATGGGTCTAACAAGATTGGTTACAACTTTTTGTAAAGTTTGGTGTTCGATGCTCTTCATCTTTGTTATTATTTGACTTTGCGTTGTTTTTTCTTCGATTGATACTGATCCGCTATATGTGGTCCTGTATAGACGAACGTGTGTCTAAGATTGCAAACAACAATAATTGCCCATAGTTAATTGGTTGTAACAATAAGTATGATAGATTACTTTTGATCTGCTTCATCTATCCTACTCTTTACTTTAAATTTTAGTTGTGCAAAAATCAGTATAAAATACCTTTCCCATTACTTTTGTGTCATTTATGTAGTTGTTTTCTTTGGTTGTCTTTTCCTTTGCTCACTATTTTCCAACACCCATTTCTATGTGTAGTAATCAATGTTTCAAAAGATTCTGCAGATATGATATGTATTCACTTGTAACGTAGATATTATCAAAACGTTATGAACAAACATACCAGTGACTGGGCATGTGTTAAAATGTTTTCTCTGAACCTCGATGTGTTTTGTTCCAATCTGACAGGAAATCAATATTTCACCGGTACAGTCTTCCTTTCTTAAGGTGTGTTTTAGACTAATGTCGACCGAATATAATTTCCCATTTTTCCTTTTTGACATTTTTGCCAGTTTTCCATATTTGACATCCTATCAAATGAAAGATAAAGACTCAATAATTATTAATCAATATGAACTAGTATTTGTGTTTTACATATAAGCTTATCATCATCGATATTACTAATGGTTCTCCACTGTCTTGCATTGTATAGTTATTTGATAATGTGAAGAAGTACATTCGGTGTCGTTGTTGCTTGTTTGCATCAACTTTGGACATGGATAGGTTACAAAGGTTTTTTTTTATCCTACACATGGAAAAGTTGACCTTAACCAGATATGGAACAATGTTTTAAATTTTTGATTTCAATGGTTTAAATCTGCGAAACTGACATATGACATATATTGTAACAGTAAAATTTTATTTTGTACCATGAGCAACGTTTATATAAATAGTGCGAATAGTGGAGCAGGATCTGCTGTAGGTTTTTTTTGTTAACTTTTTGTCTTTTCGTGGCCTTTCGTTTTTGTTTTGTTTTTTGAGGGTTTTTGTTTTGGGGGGGGGGTGGTATTGTTTTTCATGGCTTTGGTCAGTTTATTTGATTTTATTAGTTTTTAATGTCCCTTTGGTATCTTCCGTCCCTTTTTAATTAATGTTCAGTTTTCTTGGTCATTAGAACATGAATAGATATCAGTATTATTAGCTTCCACGTTATATAAGATTATTTGTAGGGAGCATTTTTCTATCTAAAGTTAATGAAGAGACCTTCTACCCAATCCATTTTTGTGTTGTTTTTTGTTTTTTGTTTTTTGTTTTTACTGTTTCTTTAAAGTTCAGCACAATAAATTCTTGCGAGATCAAATTAAACCTCAAACATGTCAAACATTGGAAGATATTTCAACTTTGTGAGCTTTCGGTAAGGTTCAAATTTTAAAAAAAGAATTAGCCACGCTCTGTTGGGTCGTTGATGCAACTTTTAATATGTTAATTTTCTAAAATGCATTGGAAAACTTTTAGTATTAATATACCTCAAATATGATTTCACATACTGGTGTTGGCCATACTTTAGCAAAATGAACGTTTACACTGAAATGTCCATACTGTAAGCTTGCAATGACAGTAGTAGTTTCTTTTGGTGGAATATCTATTAAAAAAATATGTCATCTATACTGTAAACAGTGTAACAACATCAAAAATCTAGAAAATGTGCCAATTTGGCATGCTTAACCTTAATCTAACTTATTAAGCATTAAAAATGAACTTAAATTATTTTTTTTTAATTATGAAATGACGTTGGTAAAGAGCGAAGAATAGCTAGAGTAAATAAAAATTCTGTAAACAAATTACATTCATAGTCCTCCTCGTTGAGCTGAAGTTTTGTTCGTGTTTCATCTACACCAACGATACATTTATATTCACAGCCTATGTCAGTCTCTGAAAACTGTTTTATAACAAGGATGTATTGAGATTTATCTTTTCCAAGTACTTCATAATATTTCGAAAGGTCTGCAGAGACAGCATTCATGCACAATACTTTATTAAAAGGTCCACCTGACCAGCTTCTACTGTGAGGTTTATCAAGTGGAATTTCAGTTTCATTTGCGGTGCACGCAAGTCGCACATTTTCTCCAAAGACCACAGGTTTTGTTAACAGTTCCAAGTCAGCTGTAATTATAGAGATAAATAAGTAAAAGAGAGACACACACTCAGAAGTCTCTTATACACACATCTATATTTATATAGTGTGTGTGAGAGAAAGCATCATTAGAAGTGTTCATTGTGATAAGACTACAAGCACAGTCAATGCTGCTATATAAAACACTTCGATATTCATCGGTATATATACTAAGTTATCATGAGCTTTACAAGTATAGGTTTTGTTCAAAGCTAGACTTTTAGCCAGTTTACATTTGTTAACTCTTTTAGCTTTCCGTATAATAATATATTGCTAGCTTTGAATAGTTTATTTTTTCTTCTCTTCGACTGTACTTGAATAAAAAGATATAAGCTGATATATATAACTTAAACAGAAGAGTAAATATGCAGCTCAGAACTGCTTGTTTACTTATAGCCTTGTATCATTAATGAATTTTTATTTTGCACGTAGAAAAAAGTATGGACAGTAAAATAATGCGAAAGTGGTTTAAAGGTTTTACATTAGATTTGCAGAACAAATTGTTAGGTTTTCTTTAAGCCATTACTTCTAACTATAATACTAAAATTTATTCAAATTCTTGGTAATCATGTTAATCACTTCAAAATAAATGTTTTTACGTGTTGTGATGGCTTTAAATTGCCATGTCAAAAGTGGTGCACAAATAAAAATGAAAGAAAAAAAACCAGATTGACTGTAAGAAAGCCAGTTGCATTGATTATTTTAACAAAAATGTACTTTATTAATTTTAACAGAACTATTTCGTCTTAAAACTAAATTAAAACTGTGTCACTAAGAAAAAACAAACAAACGTTGTGAAAAAAGTGAAACAGCTAATTTTAGAAATCTTTTATTAATCAAACATAATAGGAAAATGTATTGTACTTACTGTCAAGAAATACTTGTTTCAAGAAAAAAAAAGAAATTAAATGAATTTTGTTTTATTTTATTAAAACAATGTATATCATTACAACATAATGCAAAAAGAGATTAGTTAATAAATACTTAATAAAATCATGATAATTCATTAAATTAATCCTATTTTAAAAGGGTTAAGGGAACGTCCCACTAATGGAACACACTTATGAATACTTACAATATGCACTTATTGCTCCATATTATACAAGTAAGATATTAAAAAGATGACTGACTACTTTATTTTGAGTTTTAACTTCAACATACAGGGAAAATTCGGATAATTTATCAAATCAACATAGGTTTTAAAAAATGGATAACTTACTTTTAATTTCGAAAATAGGTTGTCTAAAATTTTCATTAAAGCAAGGATTACTTAGTTATATTTAAAAAAACAAATCTAGGTATTACTATTTTGAAAACATCCATAGTTGACATTACTCACAACTATATGTACTAGATAAAATCAACATTTAATTGTTTTATTCTACAAAATTCATAACTTTGTAACTTTATATTTCAGAGCAAACAATAATGTTACCATGATGTGTATTTGCAGGAGATCTACAATTTACTTTAAATTTTGAATAAAGAACGAAATTTCTGATCTACATCTATTAGTTGTATAAAACCATACTAAAATATCTGATGTAAATTTTGTCTGATTTGATTATCTTATTTTTGTTGCACTATTAAACAATCAGATAAAATCTAATTATGCTTACCACATGCACGAATATGCAAATAAACGAACTGAAACATTACATACTTCAGAATAGAAATCATTTTGCTTGTCTTTTGCTTCTATTAAAACGATCTGCAAAGAACATTTACTGTGATACAATATACATATTTTTTAAATAATGTGTGATACTGATCTCGGTTTGCGATCCTTATACTACAAAAAGAATGGTCCGCCATCATCTTAAAATTGCAGCGCAATACTTATTTGAATTATCAGACCCTCCAATTGCCGTTCCTGATGACGGTGAAGCCAGAAAAGCGCTTTGGACACACGGAATAAGAACAAATCTTTTACTAGCACCGGTTCGAGGCCACTGATGGTTGACTGTTAGTCTCCGAAGGTATCATGAGCTCAGTAGTCAGTGCTTTGGTACTGTTTGATTTATATCATATTTTTCTTAAATTCTCCATTGATAAATTTAGACATTATTAAGTAACTAAGGTTCAAACTCCCTCAGGCAAAGTTGACCTAAGATTAGTTTGGTTATTCTTTATGCTCCTTTTGATCATATAGCCCCTCGCGAATTCATTTATATTTGTATATCCTTGGCTCTTAATGTTTTGAGGTTTAATCTTTTCTGATGAAGATACATCCCTAAAAGCGCTTCGGACGAAAGTAATTTATATCAATTGTCATTTTCATTTATCTACAAAACTTATACGCAATATGTATTTTGTCATTTAGATAACTGTTTAAACCCTATATTTGCATACTCAAATAATTGAAACGTTTTAGTGCTTCAATTTCTATCATTTTTTAAAAAGTCTGAAGCTGTCACTAAGAAGTTAAATATGCAGTCATACAAAAGTGTAGCCTAAAATTTAATGATGATTCACAGAAAATTTTTATAATCCCCACTCTCTATTTTCCTCTATCTATATTAACCTTAAAAAAAATTTGTAAATAAACTAAATCTGTTACTCCCCGAGAGTATTATCGAGCTGGTATTAACAGCCTTTAATCCCAGGACATCTGTACTTCCATGAAAGTTAATATAGTGATTTTCTTAAATATTTTGTTATAAAACTTGTGAAATCATTTAAAATTTAGAAATACACCTGGCTCATGCATAACTGTGATTTTTGTACATGTTTAGTTCACCGTTTGGTCTTTTTCGGTTATAAATGCCATAAACGATGTTTGTAGGTTTTGGATTTTCAAATATTTTGGCCTCGAGTATCGACTGAAGTGACATTATTTGTCGAGATGTGCATCGTTTGTTATAAAATTTGTACCAGTTCATGTTATTAAATATTTTGTATGTTTTACTATGATCAATGTGTTCACTATTATAACGAAAAATGAAAGTATGTTTATTTCTTACCTTCTATATTTTGTTCTCACTTTTGGTAACATACGTCACAAGACAATTGGTGGTGTTTTTGAAAATATTTGGTATAAATATAATAACAAAACTACCCGAATTATTTGTATATATTATTGGTGCGAAAATTCCCACCGTTTAGTAAACATATTAATTACTTTTTGTCAAAGCAATTTAAATGGAACGTGTCGAGTAAAATATTTTATTTTATTCTATAGACATTTTACTGAAAATCGATGCATAGTAAATATTTTCAGTCTTTGCATAGATATATATGCAACAAAGCTTTGAATTCATCTATAGAAATTTTATTTTGTCTTTATTTTATAGTCTTAAAATGATCATCATTAACGAAAATATAAATCAATAATGCCGTAAGGCAAGATTTATGCAAGCCAATGTATATAATTTGAAAAAGTGACATATATACTCTTTCGAACTGATTATGGCAATTGAGATAGTTGATACTAATAAGAACTAAAAAACACTACATGTGTCTATGGACATGCTCAATCTACAAAGTACCGAGTATTGCGAAAAATCTGTCCTACGTTCAGGACACATATATTGTTGTACCTCAGACAAAGCCCATATTTTCACATGTATGTGTTAAAATCACATTTCATTAACTTTTTGATAAGTGAATTAAGTATTGTCAATTAAATTGAAAACCCTAATATACAATCCGTCGATACTTACAAAGAGTGGAAATCATGAACAATGATAGGTTTGTAGTTTGTTTTTGTTAATGTCAATAAACGTAGAAGAACTGCACCTTCCATTACTCTATTGAATATTCAAATTATAAAAGTTTCCTTAAAACAGCTTTATATTTGTTTACTTTTTATACATTGTGACTTGGATGAAGAGTTGTCTCATTGGCACTCATACCACATCTTCTTATTTCTATTATATTTTTTGCCTTGCTAAATGTCTTTCCTAATTATTATCATCATTCTGTTTTATCAACCATCAACATCGAATGTCATAGTTACCGTGAAAAACTACCAATTGTGAATCTGATGTGAATAAAATGAAAACCCATAAATAAGTTAGATTTAGTATAAATTAAATCCCTTTGTTTGTACTATGATGAAAACAGTTGATTTATTTACAGTTTACACACATACTGCTGATTCTAAACTTAAAGGTAGATTGGACGAAAAGGACCAACTATGTTGTTATCTAAAATCAAGGATACAATTGTTTTTGTTAAGGAAAAAATCATACCTTGTAACAGAACACTCTGACTAAAGAAAAGAGTTTTCTAAAACTGACACCTAGTGCTTTTTTATATTAGGTAACATATTTCCTACAGACATTCGTCCATCACATTGAAACCAACTATTTTTCGTCCATTTTTCGTTTCAGGTAGAATTCTTGAAAGGGCTAGTCCACAAAAATGAAAACAACAGGTCATAATATATTCTCGAACTTTAAAGCTATGTAGATGCTGTCTTTTCTTTGAATAGTTCAACGTTTGGTGACTACGGTGATAACATATATGCAATGGAATTGGAAATAACAGATACAATCGAAACACATTGAATTGTTTTAACCTGGGCTTTAATCTAGAAATTATTAGTTGAGGTCGGTTGAGAACTAAACTTTATGATATTGTTAATTTTTCCGGTTGGCAATGTCCATTTCTATTAGCCACATTCCAGTAGCACCTACATATGGAAAAGGGGGAGAAGATACCTATATGGCGATGAAAGCCCATAAGTCCATACAAAACATACAACACAACACAAGGCAAAAAGTAGACGAAAAGACAATCAACAGTTACAAAACACTTCATACAAAGCTAAATATTGAGCAAAACGTACACATCAAAAACCGAAAATAAACTCAGATGCTCCGTAAAGGTTAGAATATCCTGATCCTTAGTGACATCCACTGTTTTACTGCTGTTAAAATACGTTGATGAGTCATATCCTTTAATATGGCAATATACAAAACCGGATTGGTATATTTCTCTTGTCTTGCCCTAATAAATTACATTAATTCATAAACCATCACATTCCGCAGCCAGAACATATGGCCATATGTCGAAGTTTGAAATGGAAAGACTGTGTCCTAGAACATTAGGTTAGACGTGACAGATACCAGTAGAACATCACAGACATCGAAAAATAAAACAGCACAATATAAAGCACTGCAAACCAAAAAAAAGAAACTAATACATATTGTTCTTGTATTGTTATACCACTGTTCTCGGTTAGAGGGAGGGTTGCGCCTTCAAACTAGTTTAACCCCGCCAAACTCTGTATGTGCCTGTCTCAAGTCAGGAGCCTATAATTCAGTGGTTGTCGTTGGTTGCTGTATATCATATTTGTTTTTCGTTCATTATTTTGTACATAAATCAGGCCGTTAGTTTTCTCGTTTGAATTGGTTAACATTTGTCATTTTGGGGCCTTTTATAGCTGACTATGCGGTATGTGTTTTGTTGAAGGCCGTACGGTGACCTATAGTTGTTATCTAATATGTCATTTGGTCTCTTGTGGAGATTTGTCTCATTGGCAATTATACCACATCTTCTTATTTTTATATGACAAAATTATCGATTCAGGTTGTGCACAAGGGTATATATCTCCGAGTTGATACGATATTTCAGTGCTTGCATTTCCAATAATAAATTTGTAAAGAAAGTTGTTGCTTAAAAGGAAACTATTTAACCAAGAATTATAAAGGGTATAGTTGAAGTTTTCTTTTCAAACGTTTTACTGATACCATCATGCTTCGGTTGCACTTTATTGAATAATTGTGTTGCCGATGACCACTGACAAATTCTACTTGTTAAGATCAAATATCAAAATCATTTTCCTACCTTATTACATCATTAAATGCGACTTATCACAGACAGCTTGATTTAAGCAGTAGGATTGTTGCAACAAGAGGGACAGAAAGTGCTCACCCTTCCACTACACCCGGTTTTTGGAGGGCTTCGTTGAATAACCTGTGAAGTGTCGTGTGAACTGATGGCACAACAAATTTACAGTGGATAGCTATTAAATTATTATTTGATAACCGTTTTGTTTTAACAACTTCAACCAAAATTGGCAATAACCTAATAGTATTTCTTTGAGGATTTTACATTTTTCATATTTCTTAGGTTCCTAGACGTAATAAATTAATAGTAATCAAGAAAAAACTACTTTTACTTGATTTGTTTAATTTGCTAAAAATTTTCATTCGTTAAATTTGTTAAAAATTTCGTACACCTTAATAGCATTTACTAAATCGATATTTCTTTTATACATTATGTGACATACACAGCTTGACAACATCGTAAATTTGCGATTTCATATACCCTATTTTGAGGAAGTTATTTTTAGATATGGTGAATTATATTCTATTTTTAACATACCCATATAATTACATTTTCAAAAAATGATATGAGAAGACAACATCATTTAGTAATTGTTTATCAAAACTTAATTAAACTGCATTTGAGGAGACCAGACATTTAAAATACGATGTATAATACTTTCTCATAAAACAAAGCCTTACGGTTAGTCAATCTTCAATATGAGCCTTCGTTTACTTAGAAAATCAAATATCCCAAATAAAATTTAAAAAAACGCATTTCTTGAAAATATTTTTAAGATTTCAAATAATTTAAATATATGTTCTGTCTAATACATTTAAATAGCCACTTACCTTAAAATATTGAGTGTAAATACTAGAAGCTTATGGATAGGATGGTGTTTCACTTTAATATTATGTTACTTCTACCCGTTTAAGGCGACACATATACCGGCATATATATTCAAGTTATAGTTGATTACATTTCAATCACATGTGTAAAGAAGCGTATATAATTTGTGTTACATATTCTTTAAAATGTCGTCAGTATTATAATGTGTGTTAAATATTCTATTGTATTGGTGCAATAAATAACTGGAAAACCCCTATAAATGGTTTTAGTTTCTCAAATAATGTTTCCATAAAGTTCGAATCTAAAGATAAATGGAAACACTTTGTTTACATAAACAAATAAAAAAATATAAGAAGACAAATCAAGACATGACGTCTCTTGTTGCTTTTATCATTGGAAAACGCATTATTCACGATAAAACGCATAAATAAAATTCAATAAAAAAGTATTCATCTTGTACTTGAATGTTATTGGTATTACAGAGGGAAGAAATTATTCATACACTGTTTTTGTGACAAAACAATAAGCAATATAACTACTTGTACATTGTTTGTATAACATCAAACATGATTACGAATTCTAGCTGTTGTTGCAAGTACTTCAAAAAGTGTTAATTTCTATGACACCAAATCCATTTTACATTTTCAGATAAACAATGTTAACTATACGAAATCCTATTTTTATTGATGCATGTATGTAAAACTTTCTCAAAACTGCTATTTTGATAAATTTTGGCATGGTTAAAAACTAAGGCGATGTGGTATAATTGTTTATTAGACAACTATCCAATAAAGTCCATGCAAGAGACGTGGATTCAAAGCTAGTTAGAAACCAATAACATCTAATAAATAAATCATGCTTGAAGACCGTACTTTGACCTATAATGGTTTTTTTTATAAATTTTGACCTGGATGGAGAGTTGTCTCATTGGCACTCATACCACATCTTCTTATATCTATTTCCATGACTAAAATTTAGTTTAGTTAAATTTAGTTTTAGTTTTAGTTTACTTCATTACCTACACTCACTGTTTAGGTTGTGATAAAGTTTTTATGGAGACCTAACTGTTAATATATAATCCATTATTTCACGCTCAAAAGATGCGCTTAATGGAGCAGCGATATTACTAGTAAAACAAGAATCGTCAGATGGTAATAGGTAAAACAAAAAGTCTCTTAAAAGATGAACACGCATTCAAACCGTATTACACGAATTAAATAACAACATGATTGACAAAAACATTCGACACTATGAGGGTATTCTTACATTTGGGACATGCACATTAGCTAAGATCATTCATATGCAATTATCTAATATTCGAGCGTTTGATTTTATGAGGTGTTATAGATTTCCCCCATTTTGAATTTATCTTAGGGTTCGTTTTTTTTTAATACTTTTCCACATGCAATTCTCTGACAGTTACCTTTACTAAAATAGGAATAAATGGTCATTTGTCATTTCGGGGCCTTTTATAGCTGACTATGCGGTATGGGCTTTGCTCATTATTGAAGGCCGAAAGTGACCCATTGTTGTTAATTTCTGTGTCATTTGGTCTCTTGTGGAGAGTTGTCTCATTGGCAATCATACCATATCTTCTTATTTTTATATTGTATACATAAATTAAGAAAAGAATACCTTTCTCAAAATAAATTTCTGTATTCAAACGGCTCTTATGATAGATTCTTGATTCCATTGTTATATAATTCAAAGGTTTTATAAACAATATCGTATTTATGACAATATCATACACATTGTGAAGAAAATAATTTTTAAAAGACTTTCAAGGTCAACAGCAGGACAAATGTTACTGCTTAGTCATCCCCTCAATACATTGAGTAGCAAATTGTTTTACTTTTTGCTAATTATTTTAACAAAATGATAGTACTTTCATGTATTAGTTGAAATAATGAATAATTTCTTTGTGTTTTTTTTCTTTAATACACAATGAGGTTAGTGCTTTTTATAAGGATTTTATTAATATATTTTTTTTAAATATCTGTTGTTCGTCTGCTATTCGAAATGAAAAGGAAGGAGATTCACCATCTTAATAGAGTCGTATCGTCATATGTCCTAAGTCAGGAATCACGTCTTTGGTTGTCAGTCATATCTTATTTGTTTTCCTTCTCTTTTTAACTTTGTTTTGTCAATTTTCGGAATTAAGTGTTGACGTCGGATCGTTAAAAGTGTCTCTATTAAATAATGTCACCACTTTTTTAGACTTTTTTAGACTCTGCTCGATTTAGAGCATGACACTTTATATGGAATATTGTCTTTTTTGAAGTAGGTTGACCCATAAATATATTTTATTTTTTATATGTTGTGTAGCTATTATTTTTACGTAAATATCCTTTTTGCATTTCGCAATGTCATGTTTTCCTAGACTGCTTATGACGTTTAAATCCAATGGAAGTGTACTGATTGATATTTTGATTTGGATACTTAATTTTTTTGTTTAAGTTCTCATTGGCTTTCTACTAGCTTTCATTAACTACGAGTACTCTCAGATCGGTACTTTGTGACATTAGTACTTCTTATTGTGTTTTTGTATCGATCAGTAGAGTCCAGCTTCTCTTTAAATTATTTTTATAGTTTATTCTTGTGTTGAGCTGTTACATCACTGTCCCAAGTAACGTAGAGTGTGCACTTAAGTCTGACCATAGCACATTTTCCAAAGTCAAGAGCCTGTAGTTTAGTGGTTGTCGTTTGTAACTGTATATCATATTTTTTTCATGTCGGGGCCTTTAATAGTCTGCTTTGTAGTATGGGTTTCCTCATTTGTGAACCGTATGTGACCTATAGTTAATATCTATGTCATTTGGTATCTGGTGGATAGTTATCTCTATATCTTACCATATCTCCCTATTTTATGTTGTTATGCTCATTGTAGGTGTTTTGCATTAAAAAAAAAGTCGAAATTCGTTCAGAAACAAAGTATGCTCCTCTTCTGGCCGACATGATCCTTTATTCATATGAGGCAGACTAAATAAAGGAGCATCTCAAGTAGAATAAAAAGACTCGTTCAGTATCCTTTAATTTCCGCCATATACAATGTACTGATGATGTCCTCTAATCAAATGATTCTTATATAACACAAAGAAAACAAGGTGTGGATACAAATGCGATAACAATCAATCAGATACCAAATGACGTAGATGTAAGTAACTATAGGTCACCGTTCGGCTCAATAATGACGAAAATCTATACCGCTTGGCTATAAAAAGCTGATATGACAAAATGTAAAACAAATCAAAGAAAAAATCAAAGGCTGACTTATTGTCCAAACAACAAATAAAACCAATTTTGATATGCATCTGCTCGTCATTCCTCATTTATGACATCAGTGTATGCCACTTAGCACTATATGTCTGCCATGGTTAACACGACGGGTGCTTAAGTCGGTGAGGATGTTTCTTTCTTCGAAATTACATGCGCTGAGGTTGTCCGCGGAGTTTGTGTTGCTCAATCTGTAGATACCTATGCAGTCAAATTTGGAATCTTGCCTGTCAACTATGTTCTTTTTTTTTTGGACTAAACTGTGTTGTCTATACTAGTATTTCATTGACTAATAGTTTTTCCTGGTCCCCTTGGTACATTCGTACTTTTTGTTATTATATATATATATACAAGTCTAAATTGAAAACAACGTTCAAACCTATGATTGCTTTGGATAAAAACCGCAATTTTTATACGTGTGCATGCAAAACAAATTTCTTGGTAGAGGGGTCTAAATACAGCACAAACATCATTTTCCAAAAGACCAAAGAAGTGAAAAAGTATATTTTAACAAAACGCATATGACAAGCAGGTCGAACAACGGATGTTCTTAAACCCTATATATATGATATGTTTTTTTTATATATAAAAGCTCTCCTTTTTTTTAATAAAACTGCTGCATAAAAAACTGATTAAGACTGCGATCAATTAATGGTTTTAAATTTCAACAGAAAAAATTGGCATTATGATTCAATTAAAAAGGCAGTTGCATGGTGCCAGGCTATGCTATTGATCAAATATAGCAATTACGATATGGAAGTCCTTCATGTATTGTAGTCATTATAACAATTAAAAGCGAAGTGTGAAAAGGATGTTTTCGCTTAAATATATTGTTTGAAATCATATTTAGATCAGGAAACAACTTAACCACATTTCAATAGAAAAATAAATAATAAAAATACATATTCGCCCACGGACCACTATATAGGGAACTAGGTTTTAGCATTTAGAAACCCATTAAAATACGGAAGTAACATAGTTTTATATTTTGTTTATTTGTTGAACGCAGCGTGATGCTACATTTTTTTTAGATCACGGTGAATAACCTTTTATTGTCATATGTTTTATGAGATTAGTTTATCATGAATGCATACTTAAATTCATATGTATAATAGAATGAAAAAGTAAACCCAAGAAACATTATAAATCCAGAAAAGACATACAGAAGGCATTAAACTATCTGAACAGCAAGCAAGCACCATCGTCTATGGCTATAAATAATTAATTGTTAATTTTTGCATAAGTGTACAGTCATTGATTGACCGTTAGAAGCTTCAATTTGTCGTTGATTCTGTAATGGGATTTGTATTGTTCATAACCTTTTTTAGATTTTTTTCTGTTTGGATTTTGGTCATTATTACTATTGCCTCATTTTCCTCGCTGTTTAAATATTGTAATTTTTCAACTAAAAGTTCATCCTATTACATCGCAATCGATATCAAATATTGAGAACGTCGAGAAACTTGTTTATCTCAAACTCACTAGATGAAGATTATCTTTTTAAACATATGACGTTGGCGACGATATCATATCGTGTTACTTTATAACATAGATTTTTTTTTTTTATATTTTTCATCACAATAGCTACAAACTACTGTGTCAATAATACTTTTATGAGCACAATCAAGAATAAGGGTTGATGATCATCTTTAAAAACAATAACTTTACCAATACAGAAGATTTAACACCACTTATAGAATTATATAAAGAAGGAACACAATGATTAGTGCTGTGATACATTTGCTCTGAGTGATCAAGATTTAGGTAAAGAATTCAGGTTCTGAAAAGAATACGAGAAATCTTCTTGTTTGGTATCGTCATGTTTTTAGGACTTTCCCTTCTTTAATTTACTTTGGAGTTCGATATTTCTGTTAGCACATTTGTGAGGCATATGGGAAGTTAGCAGTTATATATATTCGAACGGATTCTGGGTACTAATGAATTTATGGTAATACCTTTTCGAACATTTTCAGATTTTAAAACTTCATTCTAACATTTAACATCCCGTTCCAACGATCAGGTGCTGATTCGGTGTTGAGAATAAAATCTTTAAGTTCACTTTAGATGAATATTTGAATTAGATTTCCTTACATTTAAATAATAAAAGACGATGGAAAGCAGGCCCAAAGTACAAAAAATATACTATTTTAATAAAAGGATGTATTCACAATATAAGAAAGACAACAATAAGAAAAACGATAAATTTACTTGAATACATCTCTATTCGATATCCTATCTATTAGCGTTTAATGTTAAACTTCTTCAATATGCATTCACTGGAAAAAGCAAGCTGCAGCACAATGTTATTTCCAATACTCCATCTCACAATGCTCTTCAACTTCGTACTTTATTTGGCCTTTTATCCTTTTTTTATTCGAGTGTCACTGATAAGTCGTTTGTAGACTGGCGTACACAGTTATATCCAGTTATCTATGATGAATTTATATATTACTTAATGGAAACACTATCATAATATGATAACTACACAATTGTTTAAATATCAATAGCATATATCAAACATATACAAATTAATTCAAAACTGTATATATACTTTAAACAAAGGGCACTGATGAAAGAGAAAAACTGCTTGAATTTCACAATTTATACATTGCGTTGTTCATTGCCTTTTTGCCATTTGAGTGTTAAACCCACTTTCTCTTCTGTAGTTTCAATATCTTGTTTAAGTTTGATTTCCGCATGATAATCATACGATTTCCCAGTTAGATAATCAGAAATATTCTTGATGAATATATTATGCCGTATTAGCATCAAAAGAACATATACAGACATCACCATACAAATCAATAAACCAACTATGAGTATTGACATCAGAGGCATATTGTTTTGGTCTCCTGGATTCTCAGTCACTGGAAATAACAATAATACTATATTTTTTTCATATCATACTTTACATAATTCCCGACCTGAAGAATGCTTACCATAAAGAAATTCTTTTTTACAAACAATGACAGCATATGTCTAGAGAACAATAAAGCTTCAAACGTCGAAGAAAGTGTGTATTTGAATTTCTTAATTGCTCTTCTTTACAAAAATGTCTACTTAGTTAAAATTCAGTTTTCATAGCATTGTAAATTTAAAATATAGCTTACTTAATTCAAAAGTTTGTTTCAGTAATTTGAGAAAAGTATCCGCTTTGGTAAACAAAATAACTCGACCGTTACAACAACTTGACGATCTGTGTGAAAAGATAAGCGAGGGTACGAACTAAGACTAATGCCAATACATCATTGGATTTCGTAGGCCAATGAATATTCTATTATGTTATAAATGTTTTGATAGTATGTGCACTTAGTTTAGCAAGTTAAAATCATATTGCGATAAACACGATGTTCCGACTGTTCATTTTGAGTTTGATCCAATGCCGCATGTTGTTTTGTTGTCAGTCAGGAATAGCAATGCATTGTGATCTGAACGAAACACCGTCTCTCAAAATGAATTATATCCAAACGTTATGTGGCTTTTTTCTTTCGAAATATCGCAACTGGCATCGGAATAACTAATGCATGTCAATGACGCAGTGACTATCTGTGCAGGATATAATAGCAGTACAAGGCTCAAACTAAGGAGTTAATTCGTTATCATTGTTTATTTCTAAAGACATAAAGATTTTAAAGTCCTTCATATCCCGCATACACCTCATCTTGGTGAGCTGGTCAATTTTATGGTGTTAATTTCTTTATTATGCTCTGTCCCATTTTGTGCTTCGCGTACTTTTGGCAGCTTAATACTCCATGCAAATAAAAATGAATAAATAGCTTTAACAGGCAAAATGTATGTTTACTTGTTTTTGTTTAAATGTCTTTTTGATCGAGTTAAGCCATTTCAATTGATATTTTATAGTGCGTCTTTTTATGTTGTAATGTTACACTTCTGTCTCAGGTTAGGGTGAAGGTTGGCGCCTGTTAAAACGTTTAAGCCCGCTGCTTTTTTATGCACCTGTCCTAAGTCAGGAGCCTGTTGTTTAGTGGTTGTCGTTTGTTTGTGTGGTTTATATGTGTTTCTCGTTTCTCGTTTTTTATTTAGATTAGACCGTTGGTTTTCCTGTTTGAATTGTTTTACACTAGTCATTTTGGGGCCCTTTATAGCTTGCTGTTCGCTGTGAGCCAAGGCTCCGTATTGAAGGCCGTACTTTGGCCTATAATTGTTTACGTTTTATACATTGTGACTTGGATGGAGAGTTGTCTCATTGGCACTCATACCACATCTTCTTATTTATATTTATAAGAAGCATTTCATATACCAAAGTTAACTGATTACTTTATTTAAATACGGAATATCAATATCAATAAATTCGCCCCACTTATATTTATATTGAAGCACTTCAATTTAATAATATGGTACTACGTTTGAATTTTATGAAGTGTGTGATTTTATAATATATTTACATGAAACAGGACAGGTATGGAATCGTTTCCTGTGAACTTCTATATGTTTGGTACCAATACGACAGGAAACAAATGTTTCTCCACTACAAAAGTCACTTCTGAATCGATGCTCCAAATTAATACTTGTAGAATACAGTTTACCATTTTTTCCATTTGATATGCTGGTTCTATTCACAAAGTTAATTCCCTGTCAAAGGATCATAAATGAATAAACTAACATTTACATAACTGCAAACTGGGATATCCTTAAGCTTGTTGAATACTGAACTCATTCGAGTCAACGTTGATTCTTTACAGAACCTTCAACAAAATTTCAAATAGAAAACCCAAAGCAGAAAAGATAACAACAAAACAATTCTCAAAGTTGCACAGTTTTATTTCATATCATGGATTAGCGAATATGTCAGCGAAGACATATGAAGTTTTTCCCTATCCTATAGAATAATTTAAAACACAAAGATGACGTGTTTTTGCTTTTTCATTCGTTTAATTTCGCTCTTTATTTGTTTTACAGTCGTATTTATAATCCGAATTGGAAGGTTGTTTGGATATTTATTTAAAAAAACAAAGGAGATGTGATACGATTGCTTATGTGACAATTATCCACCAGATGTACGCAATTATAGGCAACCCTATGGCCTTCAACAATGAGAATACCGTATAGTCGGCTATTAAAAGCCCCGACATGACAAACTATTAAACAATTTAACCAAGAAAACCAACGGTCTAATTTATAACAAAACAATTTCAGAAAACAAATATGTCAGACGTGAACCACTGCCAACTGAATGATAAAAACTGAACTACAGGCTTCTGACTTGAGAAAGGCACATAAAGAATGTAGCGTGTTAAAAAAAGTTTGTGAGCACTCAACCCCCCCCCCCCCCTAACCTGGGACAGTGGTGTAACAGCACAACATAAGAACACAGATGATGCTCCCGCTTGCATAGAACGTTAAAGAGGGAAATAACTCAAGAACGGTAAAAGTGACGCCACCCAAATTCGCATTTGATCTGAGTTTTGTTATAAAAAGCATTGTGTATAATTTTCACATTTGGTTGAGGCAAACTTAAGTTAGAGAACGGAAACGAAAAATTCAGCAATATTTCCATTTGTAAAGGGGTATAACTATAGAACGGTAAACGTGACGCCAACCAAATTCAAATGTGATCTGTGTGATGTGGTAATACGTATAGTGTATAAGTTTCTTAACATTTGGTAAAGCAAACTAAAGTTAGAGAACAGAAACCAATTTCGGGACGTACAGACGGAAAAGGGTAACAATTAAGGCCCTCTTCGCTGCGGCGGGGGCATACAAAAATTAGTAGTAATTGTCTTAACTCAATCGGTACGAGACACAAAAACAACTAACATAATAACAATAGAAACAAAACACCAAAATAGGAGTAATCGCAGTTACTGAAAGCTAGTTCAAAGTCATTTACAACTAATAAATAAATCGTGTTCTCCCAGACTAAATTGTTTTATTTATTCATGCTACTGGATGTTCAACTTTACAAATGTCCTGCTAATTTTTAATACTTGAAATCATATTTCCGTCTTTGTATGTATATTATACTAATACTTGTACCTCGAACATTATTTCGCAGACAGGTGTTGGCCACACTTTTCCAAACTTGATGTCAATAGTAAAGTGTCCTCGCTGAAGGTCCGACTTAACTATTATCATTTCTTTCGTTGGGTGAACTTAAATTTAATAAAAATAATCATTTAGAATTAAAGTGTTTATTTCAAACGCATAAATGGTGGTCGCTGTTGCTTTATTTTATGTTGATTTATTTGTTAACGATAAAAGTGCAAATTTTTTTTTTATAGTATAATTTTCACCTAGTTCATCAATATATAGTTATCCAAAAAGACACGCCAATAAAACAAGTAACATATGATTCCAATGCATTCTGTTTCTACAAAAACGAAACCAAATACGTACAGGTTTTGAAAAAAAGAGATATGTATACTATCATCACATATTATATATAAAAAAAACAGTCAGGAAAAACCTCTTAACACAAGCTTTAATTGATCAAATCTACTCCCATTTCAGATTACTGTTACGTGCAAGAATTAAGCTTTGATAAGAAAAATGTTATAGGCTTACATGCGTAATCCCTTTCATTAAGCTCAAACCTTCTCCTTATTGATTCAGCGCCAAACATGCAGCAGTAATCACAGTCCACGTCAGACTCCGAGAAATTGTGTATTTCTAGGATAACTTGATGTTGATCCTTTACTAATGTTTCGTGATATTTTCTATGATCTGTACAAACACCATCTGTACACATTAATGCATTTAAAGGTCCCCCTTTCCAACTTCTGCTATCTGAATTGTCTCGTACGACTTTTGTAGTGTTGACTGTACACGAAAGCTTAGCAGTTTCTCCGAAAATTACAGGTTTTGATAAAAATTCAATATTTGCTGAAATAGACAAATCGTTTATAAACGCGAATTTTCAAAAAAATATATTTATCATAATTAAAATAAGGAGATGTGATATAATTGCTCAATGAGACAACTATCCACTGAAACCAAAAGACAAACAAGTGAAATTTGATTTTTAGGTGATATTTAGTTACGCGTGTTATTACAAAAATTACATTTTACATTTATTTAAATCAACTTATAAGCTGTATATCTCGTTGAAGTGTAACATGCAAATGGGGCATCAATGTTCGATTTCTTCTGAACTGATTTAAAACAAAACAGAAACGACAACAAACTGGGAAAAACAATAAAGTAAAGCAGGAAAACAAAATCAAAATGAATGAAGTCTCAATGAGGCTACGGAGGGTAAAGATTCCTGTGTAGGCGATTCCATGAAAATAGCAAATAAAAAAGCGCCAGCCAATTACTGAATAATCATTTGCCATGCTCTTTAGCTCACCTGGTCAACAGGACCAAGTGAACTATTCGCATCACTTGGCGTCCGTCATCTGTAGTGGTTTGTCATTTGTGGTCGTTCGTTGTCCGTTTACTTTTACAAAAGTGTCTCTGAAACTGCTGTGACAATAAAAACCTATTTTGGCACACTCATTCTTGGTTTATCAAGTTTGAAAATCAATAATCCCGCCTAATTAATAATCCCGCCTGCCGACACAAATTGCCGATCTATAAAATTAATATAACATAGATAAAATGCAAGTTCTTTTCAAATACTTTGAAAATCGCTAAAGATAGAAAAAAATCTGACAACGCCGAAAATCTTGAGTAGTACCTACTGTCCATTAACATCGAAATTGTAAGATGATTTCTTATAGGAGTAATAGTCTTTAAATGTAGATTTTCTTCCATTTTTTTATGTTTGCATATTATATTGAAACAATTATAGATAGAAATTAAATTTCAAAAACAAACAAATTATCAGCAAGATACAAATACGTTAACATGGCCTATATCGTCAAACGACTCTTTCTATCACCAGTAAACCAATTTTGATCTGAAACTGTCATTTTGATCTGAACGGCTCTAAAAAGACGGAACGATATATTATTTAGTCATTTTCAGTCTTCCATTGGTTTTCAGACTTATCAACTGCGGTAAATTTAGAACTGTCCAGACAATTCGCATCGCTTGCAGTCAATAACGATCTATTCAGTCTATGTTCAGACTCTTCAGTGCTTACCCTGCTAACCTGTAAACATCAACATATATGATGAGTTTATTTACAACTACTGTGTCGATGCCACTGTTGGTGGAGGTTTTCACCCCGAGGGTATCACCAGCCCAGTAGTCAGCACTACTGTCTGACATGAATTTGCATTGATATGGTCATAATCATAAATTGACTGTTTGCGAAACTTTGAATTTTGCGAAATACTAAGGATTTTCTATAATTGATTACCTTGGCTGTATTTGGCAAAACCTTTCGGAGTTTTTGGATTAGTGCTTCGTACTTTATTTGGCCTTTTTAACTGTTTTGATTGGAGCGTCACTGATGAGTCTTCTTTAGACGAAACGCGCGTCTGGCGTAAAATAATCAATCCTGGTATCTATAATAAGTTTATTTATCTTACTAAAATTTGTAAGAAACGCTACTGAACAGTACATAATTGACTGCACGCGAATTGTCTAAACAGTACTGAATTTACCTAGTATCTAGTAGATAAAGGGAGAAAAAAGATTATCCGCATACATGCTTAAGTTCAACGAAAAGGAGGTTTTTGTCTTGAATTATATTCTAGTATGCAAAGTTGGAAAGTGGCCATTGTTAAAGATGCACATAGAAATAGGTGAGCGACACACGTACTTCGTCAGATCAATGCAAGGAACACAATTTTGAAAAGTTCTGACTTACGAGTACTCGCTAGTACAGAAAGTGTTTTTTTTTTCAAAATTCTTGTTCATCCGACAAATAGACAATGTGTTATGCATACAAAAATACAGTTTACACCATGCATGTATTTTGCTTTCCGATAAAAAAAAACCCAAACAAACCAAGAAAGGTGTATTCATATTGCTTCCTTCTGTCTAAACTTGTAGTGAATAATTTGTAATGAGACTTTTAATGAAAATTTGGGGATTTTCCGATCAATTTCACAAAATATCTTAAGAGAAAAAATACTCGTAAGTCATGAACATTTCAGTATAACTAAAGATCAATTTTTATCTTAAGATTTTTTTATGAAAATTGTCCCTGATCCTATATGTTTACATAACACATGAATTTAACATTTAGTTTATGTTACACGCTATTCATTTCTACGTAAGTGTTGCGTATTGCTTTGATAAACGAGTAATATCATAATATAAAATGGTCGTTTTTTTTATTGTTAGACTTTGCATAAATACAACTTACTTTGTGCTGTTACAACAAATGCAAGACTATAGATATAGATGTTCACGAATGATGGTCCAGGGATCATCGTTGTGGTCGCATAAACTGAAAAGATCAATAACGATGTATAAATTTAAATGAATATTAAAACAGAAGACAATCGCTGTTAATTTCAAATAAGATTATTTGTGTTTTTTTTCAAATGTAATTTTTGTATGTAAAATGAAGGCTTACCTACCACTTCAGAACAAGGATGAATATTTGAAGGTACCTGAATTTAGTTATGAAAATAAGGTATGATTACCAATGAGCCAAATATCTACAAAGACAATGACAAAAAAACCAAGGATGTTACAAATTACCGGTCACCGTTCAACCTTTCAGCAATTGTTAGTTGGCCAATTAAATTGTTAAGCTTATAAATAAAATTGTGAAATAAGGTGTTGCAATTAACCTAGTTTGAGATTAATATTTCGATACAAGTATATACTTGGCAGACCTCACCTGATGATTAAACACTATTTATGCAACCTGAAGTTGTTTGATTCGCTATTGATATGGTGGATTACGATTATAATCTTTATTTTTTTTAAATTCTTTAAGAGCTATATAATTGGAGCCAATTAACTATGTTGCAATGCTATTTATATTCCTATTCATGTACGATTCAGGTTCAATTGTTCACTAGATAAATATATATTAAACCATTGTTTTTCTACACTTTAAAATAAGTACTTGTGCAATCAAACTTTTGTCATTTTAAGTTCAAATTGACGTGTTCCTATTTTAAGATTTATATTTTCATATATATTAGTAATAAATTACTTTCACTTCTGGTTTAACTGGAACAAACTTGGAACAATCTTGACATTTATAACGTGTTGTTTTCATCTTGAACAAACATTACTTTCTGTTCCATCGTATCTCCTTTATATATCTTAATTGATACGTTGATCATGAGCTCATGCTACACGGACTTCGTTAGCAGGTATATGCTCCTTACACTAAAACAGCCCAAACAGAGAAATGAAAAAGAACTGAAATCGACACAACATACGTTTTACTGTCAAAATTCTAAATTGGTTGACCGATTCGATATATCTGTGTCCAAAATCAATTATATCGACACGTCTTCGCAGTCTAGATCTTTTGATACGAACATTTGACTGAGTGTGAATTGCCACGGTGTGTGGTGCGTGCATAGCAAGGTATTCTAACCATGTCGACGCACCCGTCTCGTCCCTTATCGTGCTTATGGAGTTAATGTTAATCCATCAGTTTGTGTTTTTACTTCAATTTTTCTTCTTTGACGATTTATGAGATTAGGAGGAAAATCTACTATTGCCTATATTTACGTATCGAACTATCATACATACTTATAATACGATTGTAATAAATGATGAAAGATTTGAGTAAAATGTTGTTGCGAATATTCAGGTAAACGGGCGATAATCCAGTTTGAAACATGATCCATCGGTTATTTAATGCATTATATGTATTTTAAATTTGTGTTTCAGTCCGGACACTTCAAAAATTTATGTTTGTGGCTATTTTTTTCAAGTATTCAGGTCCGAGAATATGACTTATTTTGCAACAATAAATATTCTTATTCTTATTCTATATTGTACTGAACAAATGCTGAATGAAATATTGTTTTATTATATCTAAATGAGATAAATGTTACATACTTGTAATGTACGGAAATCGGATAATAAAATGTTTCTACTGATCTCTTTTATGTACTTTATGTACCAACGATTTGTTACAAATCAAAAACTAATGTATTTGGTTTTATTCAAATATATGATACAGTGTTTAACTAATTCCGTACAGGTTTTTGTACTTTAGAGTCGATCCGTGTGTATTGCTCACATATTTTGTATTTTGCCTGATTACGTCACATGTACTTCCGCAATCTAATGCACAATTTCCAATCGATAAATAAATAAGATAAGATATTTAATACCCATGTAGCTAATATAAGCTACGTGTACTTTAAATCTGAAATTATATGTGTCACTTTATCAACAAACTCAGTAACGACTGTATTATGTCGGTAGGTTGCATGGTAGGATAAACCTTTATAATTGGGAATATAAAATCCTAGGAACATTCACAACAAGCTTGCTTGTAAACGAAATTAATGGTTTCATTCAAACGATAATCAAAATATGTTCAAGATCTTTCAACTGTTTCGACCAAGACTATAATCATTAGACGTCCAAATACAAGAACAAATTTACAACTCGACACTCAGAAAACAACCATAGAACAGTAAAAACTAATCAATTATACAAGACTTATTAGAATGTATGACAAACGTGATGATTTAAACAATTCAATGGTCAACTTTTCATTTCTCAGCAGTGAAATACGTTACACTCGTGCATGTTCACAATATACGGACTTCATTAACAGTGGAGTGCTCCTTACACAACAACTGCTCTAACAGAGTTATGAGGAAGAGCGACTACTCACTATCGATATGTGTTTAAGGTGTCAGATCTTAAGATACTAGTAAAGTCATCTCATCTGTCCTTTTTCCGATTATGACGTTTAGACTGCCTGTGGATTTGCATGGCGGGTGATGTATGCATAGCAGGAAACGCTGGCCCCGTCGACGCATCTAGCTTCGTTTTTGTTTTTTTTTTTTTGGTGGAGTTTATTTTTCCTTGATTTGTCTCTCACAGTTGAAAGACCAAATTTAAAAAAATGGAGCCTTTCAAACCAAACATTCTAAAAATCTGGCAAAACCAGTAAGACGAAAATACTAGTAGTCAGAATTAATAATAGAACAGGGGTTGTTCAATTGGAAGGGGGTTGTACTAAAATAAAATTTTAGACCCCCCACTACTAACAATGAATAATACGTTAATCAGCAACTTTGTTTGTTCTTCCACGGATTAAAACAACATATCATTATTATTATCATTCAGAATGTCTCAGTTTCGGTCGTCAAATATACGCCTCATTCGGTAACCTAATGAAACAAATCGCTACCAGATTGCCGTAGCAAACTGTAACTATCAAATATGAAAAGCTTTCTTGCAAACAGACTTAAAGGAGTTGCATTCACAGGCAGTTATTCTGTTATGAGAGTTAAAAATGGTCGAAATCAGGTAAAAATTGTCGTATCAAAATGGAAGTGACATATGGTCAACAACACATGATGAAAATTCTACAAAGTATGAGAGCTTTCTGTAAAATAGCATTCAAAAAGTGTTATTGTAGTAGGGTATTCCCAAAAATTGTCACAGTCCCATATGGTAGGATCGAATTGGCTGTACAATATGGTCAACTTCATATGATGGCAAATAATCATTCTGTCAAGTTTGAGTGCTTTCTGTAAAACTAAATTACAGGAGTTGCGTTCACAAGGTGTCTTTGTTGCAATGCTAACAAAGATATCAAAGCCCCATAACTCCCTAAAAAATTGTCAAATCAAACTAAGAATACAAAATATAGACACGAGGTTATAATGACAAGTATGCAAAGCTTTTTGTCAAATGGTCTCTCAAAATTGATTTCTCGGATGAACGTTCGGAAAGAATGACGGAAGGACATACAGAAACTATAACAATTCCCTCCCCCCATTAGTAACATTTGAATCTCCATTTCATATAGGTGGTGTTGATTCGAGTTCGAGTGTATCTGATGAGTCTCATATTGATAAAACGCCTGGTATCTATAATGGGTTTTTATATACCTATCCATTTTTGTAGGCTAGCGACAGGGAACATGCATACATTTTTTTCACTATCATCAGTATACAACGTTTTGACAGAGAAATAAACAGATCGAATTTAGCACTTTTTTTATTCAATTATCAAGAATGTGGAAACGTAATTTTATTTTTCAATTATCAAAGCATACATTATAATATAAAATACATTATCCAAATTACAATAATGAAAGCTGCAAGTGATATACCTGTATCAGAGTTAATTACAAATTTGCTTAATCATAATGCAACAAAGTCTTTATTATTTTAAGAAATATGAAACGTTTACAAACGTTAATTCCTTTAAACATTTTTCAGTCGGTCATAAAATGTTCTAACAGTTTTGGATTTTTAACTGCTCAACTAAGAAATAACAGTAATATGTGGTTAACGATATGTAGCTGTTTACTTCTTATTCAAACCTTCAAGATGTTATTGCACCATTTTGTCTTTATAAACAATGTATTTTGTATTTAAAAATTGTTATTTGCAAAATTTACAGACATATTAGAAACGTTCCACCGGACAATTAATGATAATTGTAAACGCTTGCAGACTTTAAGATAATAAACTCATCATAGATACCAGGATTAAAATTTTCTCACGCGTTTGGTCTACAAAGGACACACCATTGACGCTCGAATCATAAAAGTTGTGAATTATGTAAACATTTATCGTATAAGCTACAAAAAGTAAGGCAATCATCAATACTGAAACTTTTTATTTTATAAAAATAAATAATAAAGGGAGTTTACTATAATCACAATTGGCAAGATATAATTTCTACTGACTTTATATAATATAAAAGTACATAGAAATAATGGGTTACAACGAATACATCATGAAAAAATCAGCAAGTCAACAAAAGCTTGATCACTTTTTGAATTATCGAATCCTAAAAAATTAAAATATAAAAAAATATCGGACAACGGCCTCTCCTTGATCTTAACCCTCTTTTTTATATTACCAACATTTGATTTCATTCGAAATCTTGAAAACATACATGATACTTATAAATCAAATTTGAAAAATTATGATTACTTTAAAAAAAATAGGAAAATAACAAGCAGGTCATCAAAACCTACAAATCAAAGAAAGACAGCCAACACTCTTTGCCAACCCTTATAAAATGTAAAATAAGGTACCCTTCAGTATTTAATGAAAAGACATGCAGGGTCAGGGTACCGTATTGTAATACAAATCCTGCTCCAATGTTGTAACTTTTCAGTACGATTCAACACGTTCAACTTAAATAGAACCAATCAAATCATACTGGTCGATGAAAGATGGGTGACGTCGACGATTATAACTACGATGTGCATATACCCTACCAATATTACGAATATATCGTCACGTTATTACAGGAAATGCTTATTCAGGTTTCAAATAGGAGAAATATTCGACTTTTTTTTTCTTTTTTGTCATGGTGTTGTCCGTCAGCATTTAATTCAAGTTTTCAATTGCTCCATTGATATCTTCTTTCTATTTTGAGTAACAGTCTTTGTAAGAATCTGACAATTTAGAAAAAATTTCAAATATAGATAAAAAAAAACCGCTAACCTAACCATCATATTTTGAAGTTGCCTTCATCCTGAGTTAGAAATGATAAGTCGTTCGTTTCTGTGTGTCTGGTAATTAGAGAAATCTCTATATAAATTTAGTTTAGAATGATAGCAAATTATGGAGTTAGCTCCCCTTAATTGGTAATTTCTAGTCCATTTAAACCAAATTATATCCTAAACTACTATAACAGGAAAAGAAAACAAATGTTATATTCGTTCACCATTATACATTTTGAAATTAAATTAATGTAAACTTTAGTGGGGTTTTTTTGGTCATGTTTTCACCACTGTTTGATTCTTAGACAGATTGGCACTTAAGTTTTAAATAATTGATTAATCAAAGTATATATTACGTTAACACAAATCTATTGTAATGCTTGAAATTCGTCTAATAAAAAAAGCTAAGTCCATTTCACTCAAGTAAAGAAAACAAGTGCAATTTGACATGTATAAACAAAACCGCATATATGAATGGCTATGAGATTTCAAGGCTTATGGAGGTACCTGGTCTAAAATGGGCTTATTGCATATTTATCCAGTACATACTGAGAGAAAAACATCCTGTCAAGTTATTATAACAAATTTGTTGAAACAACAGTGTAATGGGTCTTTTTGTAAATCCACATAAGGAATATTCGATTAATTTTTTTTATTAACGAACGCATTTTGTTTGAGAGGACACATTATTCATTTCATTGGTAAATTATAACGGCCTATTTGAACAGAGTTTCAAATGTACGAAAAACAGCTATTTGCTCTTTTTTTTGAAAATGTAATTTGAACTTTGTCTGTAGTCAGGTTTTTTTTCTTTTAAAGTTTAATTATGCAAGTCTCTACCAAACATAGCATGCGAGGCGTCACGGTTTATATAAGTCGTAGTTCTCAAATTGACGGTGCATTAATTATAATGATGCCATTTTAATGCTTCTATCTATGAAAACTCTATAGAGCAGATAATTTTGAAAGCTTTTTTTATTAATTTTTGCAGCATAAAGTAATTTCAAAGTCAAACAAAAACGTAAAACTTAATAAGAATGTAACCAAAGTAAAATGGTTAATCTTCTCCACAAATACTCCCAAACGACAATTAAATACCAGAGGAAATTGAAGGAACTATCTAAAAACAATCTTTAATTTGTAAACTTTGGATTTACTTTAAATTTATATATTATTTCTACCAGGCTTCAACTTATGAAGTAAAATATATTTTAAATATACCATGCTAACAACGACTTCTTTGGACCTCTATGATAAATGTCTAATATTGTTTCTGATCTTTCTGTTTATTTATATATGGATATTTCGGGGATTTCGACTCCTCATAATTCATCACATATCTTCACGTCCATCTAATTACGTGTATTGTCTGGACCTAACCTAGACAAATTGTCGTGTGATACTTATATTGTTCAATGGCAACTTTTGATAAAAATTGGATTATAAAGTAGTATTTGACTTTCACTTCAGTATGTTTACAAAATGTGACGTAATGTTCATATTTAACGGCGTTTCTCTATCATTGACGTTATACCTCCATAACCCTTAAAATGTCATGGCGGGTCACATATAAGCGAGAACCTTACTCAGTATGATTGTTGTATCAATATAGCTTTCTTATATACATACATAAGACGTCTTAGTTGAATGACTAACACAAAACTCATGTGATACTTGAACATAAAAAGACTCACATTCAGTTAATCAAAGTCTAGTAAACAGGTATAATATATTTTTCATGGGGTATTGAACATATAAAATTATGCGGCATATATAGGTGCTAGCCTTAAATAGTTAGATTATGGTATAAAGATAGTAGACATCTTTGTCGAATGACAAATTTTAGTTATATATCAGATTTGTAAAAACCCAAATAGACGTTTGTAAGGATAAACAGTAAATATAAGAATGTTGGGTGTTGAGTATGCAATTAATAGAATATCCTTAGGTGCGTACATAACGCTTGATCAGGCGAAAATGATTAAGTTATTACACACAATATGTAAAATATACGTATGTATCAATAAAACATTTTAAAAACATGTATATGTATGTATACATCTGAAATGAGCATTTTCCATCAGGCACTTCACCCTTTTTTTTATTTGGAATATTTCTTTGATTTGCCCTCAATGTTTATTGAGATATATTTGAAACAATCTAAAGGAACTACAGACTCGGTCAACAACAAAAATAGCACCAATAGAAAGATTAGTATCAATATTTACAGGGGAACTGTTAAAACATAGTACTCATTTTTTTCTGTAAAACTCATAAATATGTTCCTAAAAGTCTTATTAAAACAAGTGTTTGTTTTTATACTGTATCATTGTTACAATTTCACATCAAAGTTGTAATATTCTATAGCCATTCAAAGCATTTAACTACATTAAAGAGGTTAAAAAGAAGACAGAGAAGCATAAATTGTCCTGATTTACTTTCGAAAAAAAATGTCATATGAACTACTGTTTTCTTGTTCTTTTCCACAGACTATAAGTAATATATAGACATATGCATGCATCAATAAGACCTAGAATATCAAATTCCTTTCTTGAGCTTCGATCACTACTAATGAGACATATAGTTTTGAAATGCAGAAAAGGTGGTCTAACAATTTTGAATATATATGTGTCTGCATTATTTCCATGTAAGTATGCAATAGCAAATATGATAAAGCATAATGTTACAAATAATTTACAAGTGATAGCTATCATTTACAATGTATATCATCAACATACTATGATAATTTCAATACACTGGAATATAGATCAACTTTAAAATGGGTTCGTATGATTTATTAAAGCAGGTATTCTAAAATGTTTCATTTTCAAAATTGCTTTTATTAAAACTCAAATTTCACAACATATAAAATGAAGTTTTTAGGTTTTTGTACAAATTTGACAGATAAATGACTTAAATATAAATTCAATTAGAAGAATTCAAATGAAAATTATAAGCTCTTTGGAAATTGTCAATGACCCCTATATACTATTGTTACCATAAAATTAAGCTATAGTTTTAATTGTCAAACATTATGAAATTATGCAACATCTTGCATAAAAACAAACCAACATTGTGTGTAACAGGGAAATCATATTCTCAAATAAATGTGTATACTTCAACTTTATAAAAATGTATAAACGTAAATTTAGGATAAAATGCTAGCTATTGATTTATTAATAAAATATGAAATTTGTATAAAAAACAATAAACGCTATAATTTTCAATTTTTTAAACTTACTTTAACCACCATATTATTTATCAAAACACACAAAGTAAACAACTTATTTTCACAATGTTTACGATTCTCATGTTTCATTCTGCAGGTCATATCGGGAGCAAAGTAGATATCTTTCATGAATCAACTTTGAAATCACAAAGTCGTCTATTTGTTAAAATAACTGATAAAATAAAATCACTAAAAACAAATCATACAACCTCTAGCAATACTATCTGCAAATGAACGAATGAACACAAAATTTCTAGCAATACTATCTGAAAATGAACGAATGAACACATTATAAAGTTGCACACTCCAAACCCTGCATAATGATGCTTGTACTCATCAAGTAATGTAACTTGGCCAGTGAATAGGAACAGATGTTAAAACATGCATCACCCTACCAATCCGTTAACTTGCAATTCAGACTTGTTCATATACAATAACTCACTGATATAGAGACATGAATAGTTTTGATAAAACTTTTGTCTTTATAAACCGACAATGTATAAATTGAAAATATATTATATATGTATAAAATTGAGAATGGAAATGGGGAATGTGTCAAAGGGACAACAACCCGACCATAGAGCAGACAACACTTAAATACTTATTTAAAATAATATAAACATTATGATTTACTAATTGATTTGAAATATAACTTTCCTAGACTAATTTTTTTATCCAATTCTGTATATACTCTTATATGAGATTGTGGATAGGGGTTTACAGGATAGAGAATAATGGGCAAAAAATATAAAGAATAGAGAAAAATGGACCCAAAAAATAAAGAATAGAGAATAATGAGGTGCTCAAATATAAAGAATAGAGAATAATGGGCAAAAAGTATAAAGAATAGAGAAAAATGGCTTAACAATTTAAAGAATACAGAAATGAAGGACCCCCATCCAGACCCTCTTATATGGGATCTCAACCCTAGGCTATTTCTCAAATGAAAAATGTTCACAAATCTTACACTGTAACGTTTAACATCTTTTATACCCTTATATAATGCAATGAAATACTAACAACACTTTTAAATTCCTAAGTTTTTTCTCTCTATCACAATGAAATGAACACCATTTGAGATACATTCTAAATGGTATTGTTGTATGCCAACTTAAAAAGGCAATTTTACAAAAAATCAAATTCGTAGCAAATATCTGTGTAAAACTATTTGTATCTAACAAGTTTTAAATCATCATGATAACAAAAAAATATTTTCATATATCATAAAAATAAAAATTTTCACATCTATAAATCTATTAAGCAATGTGTAAAACATAATATGGTATTATATCAAAATAGATTTATACAAAAATAATGCGGATTATGAAGGAAACGAAAGTATAACATTTCATTTTTAAATTAACAGCAGGTAGCAGGCACTTAAACTTATTCTTCTTTAGTTTGATTGTTGTTTCCATTGATTTTGAATTGTTCTTTTCTTTTGCTTTTAAGAAAAGGTCGAATTAGATCTGTCTTTAACAACCTCCAAAATAATACAACATTAACAACAGCAACTATAACCATAATAACTCTAAAACAATTCACATAAACAACAGATAGCTGTTGTCTATGGATAATACCATGGCTACCAAAAAGATGAAAAACAATAAATCCTATTGGTATAATTCTACACAAGAAAAATGAAACTAAATTCACGTAGCTACATGTTCGGTAAAGAATAGTGTCAAATCCGACATTTTGTATTTGTAACAATTTCCGGGAATGTAAAAAGAAGCTGTTTATTTCCGCTGTCAAAGCAGTAAGGCTGTATCCTATACAAATATTAGTATGCCAATTATACCAAAATCCAGGAACTACCTAAAATATAAGAAAATGCAAAATTAAAATGGGAATAGAAATAATACTAAAAGTAGTGTTTTCTAAACTATGTAATCGCCTTTGTCACTGAAGTTATGTGTCTCATCCCTCAAAATACATCCAGTATAAAAAAATGAGTGCACGAGAACCAAACAAAAAACCAAATCAACTACATACATACCCATTGATCCAGCTTAGATGTAAGTGAAGATTGATATCTAGAAAAGCTCTAATCTAATAGCTCTGATTCCTTGTCAGTGTTTGGCTCTATTTTTTGTCTTTTTTAGTTTTATCAGCCCTTAAACAATTGTATGAGGTTTTGGATTTACAATTACTTCGGCATCGAACATCACTGAAGCCGTGAAGGGACATAAATTGTTGTAACGCGCATCTGGCGCAGTGAAATGGGTACCGTTAATGTTACATGTGTTATTTATAATAATAATATAAACGTAAACCAGAGGACAAGACAAAAGCATTATTCCCAATAATAACAACACAAATAACAGACAATATGAAAATTTCAACTAAAGCTCAGTAAATGAGGATTTTGAAGAGTAGCAAGCAGTAAGTATGGCAGCTTTTCGGAATTTTCGGGGTTTTAGGCTCTTTGTATTTGATTTAGCCTTCCAATTGTTTTGATTCGAGAGCAACTGATGAGTTTTATGTCGATAGGCGAAACGCCCGTCTGGCGTAACAAATCACAAGCCTACTTTCGTTGATAATGTTTTTTCTAAAGAACAAGATTCCGATGCCGTATATACACATAGTTGCTTGGACTGGAAAAAATGTTTTATGTATCTTATTGTCTTCCCAATTTGGTTGCTATTTTAACACTATCGTAAAATGTCACGACTATATCATGACAATTTTGAGAAAAAAGACTGTGAGTTCCGGCATCATATATCTGTGACCAAAAGATGGAGAAACTACCAAGGGGGGTTGCAAAACAATAAGCCGAAGAAAAACAGCAAACACAAACAACGGAAAGACCAACAACAGTTTACAAAACATAACACAAAAAACCAAAGATTGAGTAACACAAACCCGTACCGATACTGTGTATACACTTAATTGCCTTGGACTGGAAAAAATGGTCCATGTGCCTTATTGTCTTCGAAATTTGGTTGCTATACTAACACTATCGTAACAAGTCACGATGGAAAAGAAAATTAGTCACATTTGTGACACAAGTTTTCCATAACAGTCAACCAAATCATGATGTTTTCTGTAACACTTTCCGTAACACTTTCGAAGGTAAGAGCTTCCTTGTAATATTTAAGAATCATGATAGGAAATGTTAGCCCTGATATATCGTATCTACTGGGAGATATGCACTCGTATACAGACGCTGCTGGAATGTTGCTACTCTCTGAAACCATCTCATGTGTCGTAAAATTAGCATGTTTAGTTCTCAATCAGCCCCAATAGTGAATGTCTAGATATAATTCAAGCTTATTAATGAGTAAAGTTCAATGGGAAAGATGCGATAAACATGGTCACCAAACTTTGAATTATACATTGAGAGGGACGTGAAGTTAAAGGATAATACTAGATTCTTTAATTTTGTCGCGGTTCCCAGTTCCCAGAATGCAATAGTCCATTTTTTGTCGACGGAGATCAGATGATGAATTGCAATAATACGAAGCAGACACTCAACTTTACACAGAGAGCCATCCGAGAGCATCAGTACAGGTATGTACTAAACCACAGGTAAGCAGACGTAACAGTTATTACAGGTATATTTGTCTATGATGCAGACTCGCATAGAGGATTGGTTTGACTGATAAAAATGTTGATAAACAAAATTATTTACATTGTTATTAGTGTCTTTTCCGATCATTCGTTTGTTTTGCAGTTTTGGTGTTACCTTTGGTAACTGTTCAGAGTCATTAAAGTCCATAATATCATGTAGCTAAATTATATATGGTCGCGTGCGACGATCATTATCATTGATATTAGAATGTGAAATAATCGAGTTGTTGTTCAAACTATACACAAAAACGTCAGCAATTAGATGAATCGTAAATATTCATATTCTCTTTAGACCTGTTCTACGCATAAAGAAATCTTTAAATTAAACAGACTGGTATATATTCTTTATTTCATTCAGCAAATTAAAAAATACTAACTGCAACTGACACTACCACGGCACTTATTATTTACAATTGAGAACAACGGTGATGGGACGAACAGGGGTAAGGGATTATGGAAATGAGGGTGGGAAGTGGGAGTCAGGGGAGCGGGAACCCGAAGAAAAGAATTAGTAAAAATAGGGATATTCTAGGGGGAAATGTTTGAACGATTTTCGTCTGGGAATAAAGGGGAAGGAAGTGGGAATCAGGTTTCCCCCTGTCCACCCCCTCAACGGTCAACGTTGACGTCATAATGTGTTTAAATTCGGATTTTTTTATGATTAACTCACAAAACAATCAATTGTCAAATTAGACAATATCAATTCGAATACACCAGTTTCACATTTAACTGCGCATGTCTAACCTAATTAGCCAAACTATGAAATCGCGCGATAATTCCCGAGAATTCATCAACTGGGGGCTTACGGTTGATAAGCAGTGACCATGCAGACTTGGAAAAACAATCACCTGATTAAGTGTTTGCGTTTACATGTACATGCAACACGAGCATCATTTGAATTTATATTGACGAGATAACTTTATTAACAATGACACATTAAAAGATTTTAAAACGGACTACTGTTGTGAAGTTGGTTGCAGTAATAGACGATCTGATACGCCGCCTGACTTTGTACCTTTAATTGTCACGAAGAAGTACTTTGATTCACGCTGAGGTCATTCACTTAGCGGGTAGAATAAATTAGATAAATAAGCGGGGCTCACTTCATATCCATAGTATTAGGTCATAAATTAAGAAGTCAATTAACACCTTAGCAATGTGGAATCCTCGTTTTACCTTGTACAATCTCACCAGGTGACAATTGATAAAAACGTACCTTTTTCTACATACAGTTACTGAAAAGGGGACGACCATTTGATACTATGACGGAAGCTAGGAGGGATTTATTCAACTTTTGTACACAATTATTTCCTGCATTTTGTGTTGCAGATTATTCGTTTTCAACCTGCCTTGGGGAAAATTATTTATTTTCAGCTCTTACTTGACCAGGTTATTCATTTTCTAACCCTCCCTCCCCCAAAAAAAATCAAATGGTCATCCCCTAATATAGATAAATAAAATTTTAACCCTGGTACCTAATTTACACTGAGATATCATGACCAGTACGGTTAATGCAACTAGGTATATATTTTTTTTAATAATTTAGAAGGGGGGTCATTCAATTTGATCTTATTTTATGGTAAAGCGTGGTAAATACAGGATATTCAATTACTTTTAATGATATCTTGCTGTAAATTTTTAAATTAAATTGAAATGTCATTAAATCTATCCTTTTTTTTTTTATAAAATTTTGAAAATTTTGTACACAAAGTATGCTAAGATATGCATTATATAGAATTTGCAAAAGTTGAAAATATGTAGAAATTTACTCTGGCCGTTTGCACTAAACCACTGCTTAGACAAAGTCGATCATGAACATAGCCTAGAAATTAAAATGGTATTGAATGCATTGTTTAAAAGTCTGATGTTTAAAAATTGAAGATAAACCTGCATGTCTGATACGTATTCTAAAACTTCCTTAATTATATCTCACTTCATTATCATGATTGTCTAAAAAACATCACTGAAGCAGAAATATTTGAAACAAATGTATATATAAATAAGAAAATATGGTATGAGTGCCAATGAGACAACTCTCCATCCAAGTCACAATGTATAAAAAGTTAACAATTATAGGTCAAAAGTACGGCCTTCAACACGGAGCCTTGGCTCACACCGAACAGCAAGCTATAAAGGGCCCCAAAATTACTAGTGTAAAACAATTCAAACAGGAAAACCAACGGTCTAATCTATTAAAAAAACGAGAAACACCTATGAATCACACCAACAAACGACAACAACTGAACAACAGGCTACTGATTTAGGACAGGTGCATAAAAAATGTGTTCTATTTTATGTTATATGCCATGTATGCTGTAGCAGGATAAAACGCATGGTGACCCCATTTTTTCTTTTGGTATTCTGAAAGCATTTTATAAGAGCTAGTGAGCTATCTTCTCATTCAGTTTACCTTCACTGAATATTCATATAATGATGCCTTTTCTCTGTACAATCCGTACAAAATGTTTCATATTTCCACAGCCGTTGTAGCTTGAAAACACACTCCGTGACCAATCATTGAGTTTTTTATATTTTCAACATATCACAATATACATGTATACTACATCTTTGGCAAAGGATATATGGAAAAATTCTATCAGTTTTCGTTAATACTTCCATACTATACCATTAGTGGAAATTTCGATTATTTAGTAGCTACATTCTTAACTGCCGGTAACTGGTCCTTGTACCCATAAAATTTCACGCAAAAGTCACCATAACAGTAGCAGGCTTTTGTTTTAAAAGAAGATTAAAAGTTTGAATCTATGGTACTAAACCAAACTGTGGGCCGTAACACTTTACATGTTACAAGAAGATGTAAAAAAAATCAAACTGACATACAGCACTGTAGCGCAGTAAGCAAAAGATAGCACCTGCAAGATTTAGTTCTTTAAACCATTTCGTTCATAAATACAACTATTATGAACTCTTTACATCAACAAGAAGACTTATTTTTTTCGTTTGAATTGTTTTGTGTCGGTACCTTTTATAGCTTACTATTCGGTATGGATTTTCTCATGTGTACTGGTATCATCTGTTTACCTTTCTCCAGCATACACCATTAAGGGGGAGATGTGTGTTATCGGTTGATTTATTATTGTGTTGCTAAATATAAGGGTCAATCGGTTAGCCCCCTGTCACGTATGATATCGTTAATTATCGCGGGATTTAAACTAAAACGCGCATAGGATTTCGAGATCAGCGTTGATAAGTCGCTTATGTGAAACTGGTCTATTTGAAACTTTACATAACAGTGTTAAATACCTATACTTACAAATATGTGATGAAGTGTGACCTCCCAATATGCTATCAATTTCTTGTTTAACACCATATCTATTGTATCATACAGAAAATACCCTGAAAGAATTGTTTACATATATTAATATGTAAGACATTGTATTTTTAACTGTAGTGTGCATGTTATCTTTTATATATTATACACTTTTATGCTTTTATGTTTAATTTATTGTAACCTAGTAGACACTGATGTTTATTGTTTTGTTGGGATACGGACTCATTAACATGATTTACTCAAATCTCTCCAATTCTGTTTTATTCACATTAGCTGTTCAGATGATTTTTGGAAAACTATTAAAAAACTAAAAAAGGAGAACTTCAAGGATCCTAGCTCTAACATACAACCTAAAGAATGGTTTGAATATTTTAATAGATTAATTAATATTGATTATGATAAAAATGTACTTAACGATCAGAAAATTTATACTGCTTTTAATGATTGTAATACTGAGATTTTAAACAATTATAATATTACAACTGAGGAGGTGGTTATTGCAGCTAAATCTTTAAAGAATAATAAAGCAAGTGGTTCAGATTGTGTTACAAATGAAATGTTGCAAATATCTTGTAATATGAATATTGATGTTTATGTAAAATTGTTTACTAGTAATCTTATTCTTAATTAGATATAGGAAGATGCGGTATGAGTGCCAATGAGACAACTCTCCATCCAAATAACAATTTATAAAAGTAAACCATTATATGTCAAGGTACGGCCTTCAACACGGAGCATTGGCTCACACCGAACAGCAAGCTATAAAGGGCCCCAAAAATTACTAGTGTAAAACCATTCAAGTCTGGTATTTACCCAACTTTATGGAGAGAAAATTTTATTAAGCCCATTTTTAAGGGTGGGTGTTTTAATGATCCATCTAATTATCGAGGTATAGCCCTTTCAAGTTGTTTAGGAAAATTCTTTCTTAAAGTTTTATAGAGAAGATTAGAAAAATATCTTGAAGGAAATAAAATTATTTGTCGTGAGCAAATTGGATTCGGAAAGGGAAGTCGAACAAGTGATCATGTTTTAACTCTTAAAAATATTATTGATAAGGCATTTAAATCATCAAAAAAGATATATGCCGGTTTATAGATTTCAGGAAGGCATTTGATACTATTAACAGGGAGGCTCTCTTTTACAAATTGTCTTATTACAACATATAGATGGCCTTTTTCGGTATAATGAGAGATATGTATAAAGAGGTTTTGTAATCCGTGAAGATCTCTGAAGGTGTCACTGATTTTTTTTAATTCCACAGTTGGGGTAAAACAAGGGTGTATTTTAAGTCCCACATTATCTTCTTTATATATTAATGATTTACCCCCTATTTTTGACTCCACATGTGATCCGCCCAAGTTAAATGATAATGATATTTCATGTTTGTTATATGCTGATGATTTAGTTCTTATTTCTGAAACTACTAATGGCCTACAAAAATGCCTTGATAAGGTAAGTTTATATTGCACTAGTTGGGACTTAACAGTAAATCTTGACAAAAGACAAGTCTGTATTTAATGATAATGTTTTGGAACACTGTACAGAATATAAATATTTTGGTATACTGTTTAAACCCTCTGGTAGTTTTACTGAGGCAGTGAGACTTCTTTGTAAAAAAGCCTCAAAAGCTATATTTTGTATTAGAAAACTGTTATTTTCTGAAGATATTAATGTTTTACCTCACCTCAAGCTTGTTGATGCTTGTGTTAAACCTATACTTAATTCTTTATTGTAGTGACGTTTGGTCTCTATATATGATTAAAGATATTACAAATCTAGAGACAAAATATTGGTCATTGGCTACCAATAAAATTCAGATTAAATTTGCAAAAACTTTAATCGGAGTAAATAAAACAGCTGTCAATTTAGCAGTACTAGCTGAATTTGGTATGTATCCAGTTTTTATAGAAGCATTAAAACTGTCAATTGGCTTCTGGTTGCATGTGATAAAATCTGGTAATAATTGTTTACTTAAAGATGTACATAGTTCAAACCTGCAATTAACCTATGGATTTGCGAAAAAGATTCAATTCAAATTCTTTATTTAACCTCAGACACATTAAGTGTACAAGAGGACAATAAACTAACATTGTATACAGATTGAACAGCTACTTGCTACATCAAATTTCTCACATGTTTGGGAAAATCATGATACTATTTCATAAAGGCGTTTATAAATATGCACTTCATACCAAACTTAATGATAGATATCTGAATTATTGGAAAGAAAATATTTTTTGTGATGATAAATCATTGCACGGTTATAAGCTCAGAACATATAGACAGCTTAAAGAAAATAACAAATTGGAAACCTATTTATTGATAAATATTGACAGAAAAGTAATAGGACATTTTGCCAAAATTCGCATAAGTAATAGCGTTCTTAAAATTGAACAAGAACGACACACTAAAACACCTGTAGAAGAAAAATTTGTCCCTTGTGTCTTTTAGAAGTAGAAGATGAATTTCATTTCTCTATAATATGTACAAAACTAAATACAATTAGAGAACAATTATTTTCCAAAATTAGTGAAATAGTTCCCTCTTTTTTAAATATGACTAATGAAGCAAGATTTAATTTTTTGTATACCTGTGGTGAGACTGATATAATTAAAATTATTGTAAAATTCATAAACACCATGTATAATTCGAGAAATGCTTTATTGAGTACTTAATAACTTTGTGGTACCACCTCCTCAGCAGAGATTATATACATTCATTTATTATTGTAACAATATTTTCTTTTAATAATGGAGGGGATATACAGTTATATATATAATATTTATAAATGTGGTCAGATTATGTTTGTATGTTTATGTATAGTCAATGTTTATTGTCTTGGTAACAATCCTATAATTTTGGATTTTAAACCAATAAAATTATCTTATCTTATCTTATCTTATCTTATCTTATCTTATCTTATCTTATCTTATCTTATCTTATCTTATCATTACCTAAAAATATCTAGCAGGGACTGGGTTTTTTTCTATTTTGATTATTTTCAACTGTTTCATATTTTTAATGGCTGTATTTCAAATGATTTGCTTTGATCAGGCTCTTCAACGTTTGTATATATAACATGTATAAGGTTTTTGATTTTCAAATATTTTTGCCTCGAGCATCACTGAAGAGAAATTAGCTGTCTAAAAGCACATCTAGTGCAAATTTGGTACATTTTTTTTTATTAATTTGCAACTTTTTTTACTGTTTAATGCAGAATATCTATTAATTTCGGTATGTTGTCCTATTTTCTCAATAACGAATTCAATGACAAATATTTTTTTTTCATTTTTTAGCTTTATGTTTAGGCATCGCAGAAAATATTTAAATTATTTTTAAATGCTGCTCATAAACATGCTCAATCTCAGCTCAAAACTTTACGCAAAGCAATTACGGTAACAAAACATGGTTTGCCTTAGGGAAACATACTTTTCTTTCATCCATTTTAATCGATCAGTTGATGACGTTCCACAGTAGTGTTCATGAGTAACAATTACAAAGAAATTCTTGAATTTATTGTAAAATGTCAATTGCACGTTTGTTTGTTTGTTTGTTTTTTATTTGGATACGGTGTAAGACATGAGAAAACAACATTAAGTAGAACGGCCTGTCACTGAGCAGTTTTTGGAACAGTTGTTTCGAGAAAAATATTTCCAAGACGGTTTATCATTGGATATACATTGAGGCCTAACGGTAGAGTAAATGTTGGTAAAATTATTCTAAATACTAAGGCACTTCTACCTCATGTACAGATGGCTAGTTATGGCACAACCTTTCTGGGTTTTTTCAATGCTAGTCCAACCTTATAACTGATTTAGCCTTCCAATTGTTTTGATTTCAGCGCCACTGATGATTTTTGTACAGACAAAACACGTGTCTGGAAGAGTTCAATAATAAGACTGGTATCTTTGATAACTTTTCTCTCAGTTTATTTCTGGATTAATTTTAAACTATTGATGGACTTTTCGTCCCCAAGGAAATATCACCTATACTGATATGAAATATTTTTGATATGGTCATGTTCGAAAAAATTACTGTTCATAAAACTGTATAATTTTTCAAAACACTGGTTTTTCTACCCCCGGGCATAGATGGACAATTTTGGAATTTTATGTTTTCAATGGTCTTCAAATTCGTTATTGATTTGGCTTTCGATTTTCGATTTGAGCGACACTAATGAGTCTTCTGTAGATAAGACGCAAGTCTGGTGTACTATATTATAAGTCTGCTGACACAGGATTGTTGCCTGAGGTATGGTTAATAGGAAATGTAATTCCATTGTTTAAAAACAAAGGCTCTGAAAATGATCCACAAAACTAGAGGCCTATAACGTTATTATCTACTCTGGGTAAACTTTTACCTCAATATTGAACACAAGATTATGTAATTATCTTGATGAATTATGTATACTAAATGAAAATCAAGCAGGTTTCAGAAGGGATTATTCTACGACTGAACACATTTTTACTATACATATTTTATTTGAATTATTGAAATTGGGAAAGAAAAGGTTACATTGTGCTTTTATCAACTTTGAAAAAGCGTTGGACTCTTTACATCGAAATTTACTTCTGTTCAAATTATTGCAGAATGAAGTAAATGGGAAATTTTTTCGTGTTATTCAGAATATGTATGATTTGGTCAAATCTCGTATTATACATGAGGGCAAAAAATCCGATTTCTGCCCTTGTGAGATGGGGGTACGGCAAGGGGAAAACCTTTCACCTGCTTTGTTTTCTATATTTTTAAATGATCTTCAAACTTTTTTGGAACAGAAAAATATAACTGTCGTAAAATCTATATCACAAGATATCGAAAATGAGCTGTCAGTATTTTTGAAATTATTTCTACTTTTATATGCAGATGATACTGTTTTATTAGCAGAAAATAGCACTGATTTACAATACATGTTAAATACCTTTTCACGAATATTGTGAAGAATGGAAAATGAAAATAAATACAAATAAAACTAAAGTTTTGATCTTTTCGAGTGGCAGAATGCCAGCAAATCTCAAGTTCATAGTAAATTGCAACGATATTGAAATTGTAAAAGAATACAAATATTTAGGTGTTTTATTTTCTAGAAGTGGATCCTTTTTATCAAATAAAAAATATGTAAAAGAGCAAGCCACAAAAGCTATGTTTAGTGTTTTAAAAAAAGGTAGACAAAACAATTTGTCAATAGAATGTCAACTTGATTTATTTGACAAAATGGTTTTACCAATACTGTTATATGGATCAGAAATATGGGGATTTGAAAATGTAGATATACTTGAACGTGTACATTTACAATTTTGTAAAATGATTTTACATTCAAAACAGTCTACTCCAAATTTCATTGTATATGCAGAGCTTGGCAGATACCCCATTACTAAGTGTATATCATATATTAAAAATATTTTTGATAATTGTGGTATGTCCAATATATGGAATGCACAGTTTGTTGATAAATGGGTGTCAAAATGTATTGAGCAAAAACTCAAAGACCAGTTCCAACAAGAATGCTTTGCTTTTGTTGCATAAAACTTTATGTTATCGTATTTTTAAAAAGAATTTTCAATTTGAAAAATATTTTTCTTCTTTGCCTTACAATCTATTCATACATTTTGCAAATATAGATGTGGAAGTCACCACTTGCCGATTGAGTCTGGAAGGTGGCAGGGTTTACCGAGAGAAGACAGAATCTGCCGTCTCTGTGACTCAAACGACATTGGTGGCGAGTACCATTACATTATGAATTGTGGAACATTTAAGTTGGAAAGAAAGACATTTTTACCGAAATACTGTTTGTCAAACCCTAATATCTATAAATTTGATCAACTGTTTAACTCATCAAATATTGTTATATAAGAAAAACTATGTAAATTTATCAAAGTTATAAATGTGAAAGTCAGTCCTCCAAGTTAATTTCATTGCATTGTTCACACATGCATGTAAAGATTTTACCTTATAGTTATATTTATGTATGTTCTCTATAACTATGTAATTGTAGTTTTATGAGAAATAAAGTATTCGTATTCGCTGTCGTTGACTTGTTTTTACCTGTTGAAAATACCACCATATAAAACACCATTGGACTGTTAAATGTTACAGGGTCGTACACGAACTCTGGATGGTTGTAAATACTGAAATATAGTAATGTAAAGAATATCAATAAATATATTATATTATATTCGTTTATAGGCATAAACATTCTTTGAATCAACAAAGTGACTTTTCTTTTCCAGTTTTGTGACTAGTTATAATAATTTCACCGATCAAAACGTATTTTGATGCCACCAATATGTATCAAAATATAATGCATTATTACAAATCTTATGATTCGTAACTACGGAGTGTTAATTTTTTGTATCAATTTATTTTATTTGCATTAATTAGTTTAATTTGGAGTATTTCATTTGTTAGTTCATTCATTTTTGATATACTACCTCTTCTCATCACCTAATTTGTACTTACCATGAGCAACACGGCGGGTGCAAGTAGTGGGGCAGGATCTGCTTACCTTTTCGGAGCACCTGAGATGACACCCAGGTTTGCTCAGTCTTTAGTTTTCTATTTAGTTTTTTGTGGACTAGTTTGTCTTTTCCTCTTTTTTAATGTATGATTTTGTATTTGAATTTTTCGATCTTTTGCCCATTTCCATACACCATGATTTCAAAACCGTATCGTGTACTGGTATTTGTAAAATGGCATAGTTTTCTCACACTTGTATAGACGATCTACAGCTACATTGATGCACTTGACCAGTCGCAGTTACCTGCATTTTCTAATTACTATTTCCGGACTCACGAAGTTGGCACTTAAGTTGTGATTTTAAGTATTTCCGGTCCGTGTAAAACTTATCAATTCAAAATTTTAAAAAGTTTTCAAATTTTAGTTTTTGGGATTTTAGATCAAAGTTTTGAAAAATTAAAATTCCAATTTTTAATTTTTTTGAAATTTTGAAAATTTCACCAAATAATTAAAATTTTAAAATTATAAACTCCGTTTTAAAATCTAATGGCTTAGATATTTAAGCAAACTTTAATAATACCAAACTGAACGTACAGTTGTGATCATTTCGCTTTTTGAAAGTTTGAATGTTTGATTTTTGATTAAAATATAGGAAAGGGGAAAGGCCTAAAAAGTGGATACCTGTTACAAGTGCGAAACGGAATAAGAATGGAACGAAACGAAATTAAAATTACAAAACCAATCCTGAACGAAAACAATATTTTCTGAAAAACAAAATATGATATTAAACAAGAGTCTAACTTGCTTGATCTACAGGATGAAAATGATAAATATGATTCTTTTAGTCGAAAAATTAATTAGTTAGACCTGATTTTTACACACTAAATAAATGAACAGCAAGCAGAAATTATTTGCCAACTTTGTGATTACTGCTCTGAATGTGGTTATTAATAGTATTTGTCTGTATATTTGACATGGATACCTCCACGAGGGGCTTCAATAATGCTACATTTTTCAGGTGCGGATCCAGGAATTTGAAAAGGTGGGGGCCTAGTTAACCAACGTTTGGACAAATGCTTGTAAAAAGTATATGCATTTATCAAGTATGTAGCTCCATTAGTGGTTGGCGGGATCCCTGCCCCCTAAATACACCTCTGTTTTAAATAGCGAATAAAAGGAAACGGGATATTTGATTTTTTTATTAAGGGATAGTTCCTTATTTGTTATTTGCGCATTTGTAATTTATCGTACGACAATCAGCTTTAAGCAAATGCAGCTACGTCCAGTCAGAATGGGGCGTGTAGTGAGAGTGCCACGCTCTCTGCACGTTAAGAACCCCTGCAACAACTCGTTGGTTGCCTGTAGCAAGGCAAAATTTCTGTCCCCATCCAATATACCCTCATTTTCCACTGGGGATCTTAAGTTTGCCGACCTTCATCCTGAACAGTTTCTTTTACAGGACCATCCTATTGTATTTATTGTTAATTTGATATCGTCCTGAACATGCATGAAATATTTGCAACCAATAATCAATCATTTAAAATAGGCCATTTATTTATAAATCATAAAGAAACTAAGGTTTCAACTCCCTCAGGCAAAGTTGACCTTAGATGGATTTTGCTTTTTTTAATGTCCCTTTTGGCCATACACCTCTTCAATTGTTTCTGTTCTTATATATACTTGGCTTTCAAATATTCAGCTTTGAACGTTTTGGATGTAGGTAAATATAGAAAAGCGCTTCGGAAGTATGCCGTCAAGTGTTATTTTAATTTTTTTATTGGATATTCCATTCACTTCAAATGTTATTGTCAACGGAAAATAGTACATGGGCGGATTAATGTTTTTGTGACTGCAATTTTATTTTTTATGGGGAGTCTAAGTTTCTTTGTAATTTATATATAAACGGCTTCTTCTAAATGATTGATTATTAGCTGCTTAACGTCCAGTGGCAAATATCTCATGCACCTTCAGGACGATATCAAATTAACAATGAATACAATAAGAAGGTCCTGTAATAGAATCCGTTCAGGATGAAGGTCGGCAAACTTTATTTCGTCACTGGAAAATGAGGGTATATTGGATAGGGACAGAAATTTTGCCTTGTAACAGGCAACCAACGAGTTGTTGCAGAGTTCTTAACGTGCAGAGAGCGTGACTCTCTCTCTCTCTCTCTCTACACGCCCCATTCTGACTAGACGTAGCTGCATACTCGTACTTTGCTCAAAGTTGATTGCCGTACGATTAGTTTCAAATGCGCAAATAACAAATAAGGAACTACCTCTTGATAAAAAAATCAAACATCCCGTTTCCTTTTATTCGCTATTTAAAAACAGAGGTGGATTTAAGGAGCAGATGGGCCGCCAACCCCTAATGGTGCTACATATTTGATAAATGCATATACTTTTTACAAGCATCCGTCCAAAAGTTTGCTAACTAGGTCTCCACCTTTTCAAATTCCTGGATCCGCACCTGAAAAATGTACCATTATTGAAGCCCCTCGTGGAGGTATCCAAGTCAAATATACAGAAATATACTATTAATAACCACATTTATAGCAGTAATCACAAAGTTGACAAATAATTTCTGCTTGCTGTTCATTTATTTAGAGAATCAAAGTGTGTCAAAATCAGGTCTAACTAATTAATTTTTCGACTAAAAGAATCATATTTATCATTTTCATCCTGTAGATTAAGCAAGTTAGACTCTTGTTTTATATCATATTTAGTTTTTTCAGAAAATATTGTTTTCGTTTTGATTTGGTTTTGTAAATATCATTTCGTTTCGTTCCGTTCTTAATCCGTTTCGCACTTGTAACAGGTATCCGCTTTTTAGTCCTTTCCCGTTTCCTATATTTTAATCAAAAATCAAAACATTCAAACTTTCAAAAAGCGAAATGATCAAAACTGCACGTTCAGTTTGGTATTATTAAAGTTTGCTTAAATATCTAAACTTTTTAATTTTTAAACGGAGTTTATAATTTTATAATTTTAATTATTTGGTGAAACTTTAAAAATTACAAAATAAATAAAAAAATTGAAATTTTAATTTTTTTTAAACTTTGATCAAAAATCCAAAAAACTAAAATTTGAAAACAATTGATAAGTGTTACACGGACCATTTCCCTCATATCCTTGGAAACAGATAATCACTTGTTCATAAATGGGATTTTCCTGGTTTATAAATAGATTTTTCTTCTGTTGTGAATGAGTTTTGATATTTCTCTACTTAAGATTTTCAACATGTGAGATAGTACATCCTATTTATAAGGGATTACATGTGATTGTTCTTTCACAATGTATGTATGACATTTGCGCATCATTGTTGTTTAAATGATAAGTAAACGTGCAAATACTTACCAATGGTTCTGAAAATGTAATGAATTATTTCAAGGTTTATACAAACTTACAGCTACTTCGATTAAAATCCAAAATTAAAGATGATTATAATCAAAATAAAGTTAAAAATCGGCTGACTATTATTATTACTATCAGTAGTAAATACTTGTAATCATAATGCTGTTTAAAATATTTGATCATACCGTTTGAGGTAAAAACCATGTGTTTCTAGCGTAATAGTCATCAAGTTACGCCCGATTCCAAACATGAACGTCGTGCGGAATTTACATGAAATATTTGCTACTGGACGTTAAGCAACCAACAATTAATCAATCAAACACACGTAAGAATCAATGAACAGAGGAATAAGTAAAGTAAAACGCGTCTAAAGTAATCTTTGCCTGTAGGACTTGCAAAATTCATTTAACTTGGTTTAAGTCAATAAAACATATTTCTTTATCTTTTTGCTGATCCCCTTGTGTGTAGTGAAACCACATACGATAAAAGCTTACAAATGTTATCCTGATACTACGAGTCATGGTTAGATTGTGTATCAACCCGAATTATGTTATCATTGAACTTCTCTTAAAATGTAGGTATGACATTTTTGTATAATTTATGTATTCAAATGAAATACAAACGTTCCGCTTGGTCAAATAATTGTTGATTTTACGTAAACATACTAATATTTCATGTAGTTATCAATGGATCAGAAGTCATTCCCTATTTCCTGTTTTTAAAGGTTTGAACAAGTTTACTATGACTTAAATGAAGTCAAAAAAGTTGAAATAATCAATAAAGTTAAAAAAAAATAAGCTGAATAATATTTTAAGTAATCATTTATGTATGATGTTTTAAAGATTTATTCATACAATTTCATTAATTTGGGATTAAAACAAAATGGACACGTATCCCTGGGATAAACATGTTTTACAATATTGAACAATAACATCGAACTATGACAGATATTAGATATAAAAATATAATAGCTTAATATCGATTTGTTTTGGGTTTATACATTTGTAAGAATGAAAATAAAATAATGAAAGTATTAATTACAGGGTAGTATTGGAATGCACATGTACAATATTAAATACACCCTACATATTGCCCTATACAAGGAGAAACACGCTTCTTTTTAGTCTCTGGAAATTATAACAACTGCAATGCAATTGATATAAATTTATTAAATACTATCTTATCTTATCCTGTTGTAATTTGTAACAATGTAACTTAGTAATAGTGAAACAAGCTTACAACATTGCTTCGTAGCGGATTATCGGGTGTTCGTCCTCAATTGGTGTGCCTGTATACAACTGTAATCATTATGTAGTATCAATAAAAGTACCTCACTGAGGCTGAACAAATTACCAAAAGACAATATCTTAATTTCATAAGAAACTGAAAGTTTAACAGCTTTGATAAACATACCTCAATATACTCCAGCAGCCGCAAACCAAACCATGTATCCAAGATATAACAAGATTTCGCCAACGCCAGGAATCTAAATTAGCACGTGCAGATTTTGGTTTGCCGCGACGTTCGACGAGTATATTAATACAGTGCAGCGATACTAAAGTTACAATGAATACACAATATCCTAGTCTGTTATCTACACCAAAACTTTCCTCCATAATGTATTGCATATACACTAAACATAAACCGACTTTAAAGATACTTTACGTTTGTGTATTTGTATTTCAATTTTCCACACACAGACAGGGTCGTTTATTTATAAACTGTGACACACGTATAAAAGTTATAGAAAGCTGTAATAACAAAACTAAACATCATGTTGTGGTATCGATTTTACTACGATTTAATTTATTCATTTTTTCGTTCTAAAAGGTTGTTGCACGGCGACAATAAACATACATATGTCGTGTTGTGTCGTATATCTTGATCAAATAATGAGCTTTAAATTCTATATTGGTCTCTTGGTTTTGAAGGTTTACTTCGGACACAGATTTTCTACAAGCGTTGGAGATTTTCAAGATATTTCACACTTGAGTTACGAAATGAATTAATCCTAATAAAATCCTCACATATATATATACGTCATTTAAATTGTATTTATTATGCCAAAGATTTGATTAGATGTTGTAATTATATTTAGACTCCAGATTTAAACAATATAGATTTGGATTTTAAATCAATATCAGAAACAGGGTGACGTTTATATGCAATTGTGCAATTCGCTGAAGATCATTTAACATTATTCTGAGTTCTTTGAATAGATAATTTACAAAACCTATCTTTTTAGTGTAAATGGCTATCTATGAAAAAAAAAAATAATTTTTCAGAAAAAGATTAGCATTACAGTACTGTTAACTATAATAATTCCAGAGATTATAGATATTATTTTAATATTTTCAATTACAAATTGCAACAGAAGTACACCAAAACAAAAAAAAATAGAAAGATTCTTAAAAACCACCTGGAGTTGTTGAAGGCGTACGGTTACCTATAGACTTGCTACAATTCCCTTTCTTTTATTTCTTTCTTTATACTAATTTATACTAATTTATATGTTTACTGAAAACTGTAAGTATACTGTTTTGCTTCCTCTGCAGGTGTCAGTATAATTGAAATCTCTTAGTTATAGCAGTAAAATTAAAAGGGGTAAAATTGAAAGAAAATGAAAATTAGGAAGGGACATGTAGCAAGTCTAGGTTGCCTATAATTGCTTACATCCACTTCATTTGAACTTTGGTGGATATTCGTTACCACTTCTCCTTATTTTTATATATGTTTGACTCCAATAAGAGAACAGCGAACAATTACTTTCGTCTTTATGTATATGAATGTGTTAAGCAAATTATTTCTACTTTCCAAGCGCTAAAAGAGGAAAGGTCAATATCCCCTAAATTTATTTCATACCTGGACCAGTTTTAAAAAGCAATCTTTCAATCTTTGCTAACATTTTCAGAATCACAGTTTAGTTTTACAACAACACATGGCGTTAATCTGACCGCTTTACAAAAAAATACGTCCAGATGGACCAATACTGCATTTTGGATGGAATTTGACAAATCGTGTGTACCTACAAAATACTTTAAAAGTAAAGCTATGTATTATTTTTTGGTTACAAAGAAATTTGCTTTGCAAATGTTCTTAAATGGAAAAATGTGCAATATAGTTTTAAAATTATCTCTAACAATAATGTGTGGCGCTGATTAAGTTCTTGTTTAATGGATATGTTTCAATAATGCGAATACTCTTATTTCGGTGCTTTGTGTCTACTCTATTCACTTTAATGGTTTTTGTGCCTCGTACCGATCTTTTGAGTTGGGCCAACTGTAACTGATTATTACAGTTTGTGTGTTCTTATGTTGTGCTGTTACACCACTGTCCCAGGTTAATGGCAGGGTTGAGTGCTCACAAACATGTTTAACCCCGCCACATTCTTTATATGTCTGTCCCAAGTCAGGAGCTTGTAGTTCAGTGGTTGTCATTGGTACATGTGTGTCATATTCGTTTTTCGTAAATTGTTTTGTTATAAATTATGCCGTTAGTTTTCTCGTTTGAATTGATTCACATTTTTTATGTCTGGGCCTTTTATATCCGACTATACGGTATTGGGTTTTCTCATTGTTGACGGCCGTACGTCGGCCTGTAATTGCTTACATCCACTTCATTTGAACTCTGGTGGATAGTTGTCTCATCGGTAATCATAGTACATCTCCTTTTTTATATATGTGTAAAAATGTTGTCAAATTTTTAATGTTCATTATTTAGACATTTTTATACTTAAATCCCAGCAGGTTTTTAAACTTTCGGATTTTACCGTAGCTGTTAAGTGAATCAACTTTAGGGGAGATTGGCCAAACCGTTTAATGAACAAATTTTTAGTATTTAATGCTTTAGATCATATCATAGGGAACATGTGTACTAAGTTTCAAGTTGATTGGACTTCAACTTCATCAAAAACTACCTTGACCAAAAACTTAAACCTGAAGCGGGACAGACGGACAAACGAACGGACGAACGGACAAACGGACGGACGGACGAACGAACGAACAAACGAACGGACGCACAGACCGAAAAACATATCCCGAACTCTAAGGTAAATTAAAAAGGAGTCTATAAAACCTGAGAAGACCAAATGCTCGACAATATCAACCATTAATTTATTTCATTGCTCTTCAAAGTGCAGGTGCTTTAGGTTTTGTTGGTCACAGTTGTTTGATATATAAATATATTTGTCTGTGAAACTACTTTTGGTCTCGAATGTATACGTACCTGATGAAGGTTTATTTCAAAATCATGTGATGTGCCCATTCAGTGAATTCGGTATCGTATATTTAGGAAATATTCGTCACACCCTGGCTGTCCACTCGGTGTCGTCTGAATTGTTTGTGTCGCTTAACTCCTGGTATACAGAAAATTATCCATCATTGCTTTCTTGTTGACCTTTATTTCAATACAATGAATGTGGTTATCCGACTCTTGTAAAATATTTATATAGGTATGTATATGTGCACACATGTTGTTTTCGAGTCCGTATGTTTACTTCTAGCGGTCAGTTAGCTTGTTTGATTTTGTTTTGTTGTGTTGTGTTGTGTTGTTTTGTTTTGTTTTGTTTTGTTTTGTTTTGTTTTGTTTTGTTTTGTTTTGTTTTTTGTTTTGTTTTGTTTTGTTTTGTTTTGTTTTGTTTTGTTTTGTTTTGGTTTTTTTTATGGGGGGAGAGGGGGGGGTCGTTGAGATGTATATCATTAACATCACTATTTATGCTGAACAGGTCAACATATAGCAACCAAACCCGCTCCTTTTTTCAAATAGCATAACTAATATTACTTTATCAACCTACAATTCTTCTGTTACATCTTTAACATACTAATCCTATGACGGGTTACCACTTATTCTTTCTTTCCTAATCCTTGATTAATTGGCCTGGTTTTATATGAATAACACGACAGTTCGTCATGTAGAGAACCGTTGACTGACGCTTCCGAAGTCTGCATTTGAAGGTAATCCTTAATGAATTACTTCTGTCTTTGTCGGGTTTCTCTGTCAATGATTTACTATGCTGCTCCTTGATTTACAGTTCATAAATTCATAAATAGGTTGAAACTTTTACATGATCCTATCACAAATATGGAGATATATTACATAGAGAATAATAATCGTGTCTCCCTGTACCTTTTATGGCATTACTGTGTGAAATCATTACAGTGCAGATGACATGATTCCATATCAGTAGGATAAAGGATAGAGTTGTAAATTATATATCAATGGATTTGTTTGCCATTTAGGGATTATGTATTCATCGCAGGTAGTCTCTGCTAAATTTATACACGATTTTCCTAGACTCCGGATAATTTAGAACTCTGCATATTGTATAGACATATGTCTATTGGTAGAGATCGTATGTTAACCTCTAAAACTTCTAGTGGTCATTTGAGTTATTGAGTTGTTGTGTTCTTGAGTTGTTGACACGTTGGTGTGTTGGTGTGTGCTCCGCATCTCATTGAATACATATCCATAAACAATATATAATATTTTAATAGATATAACCAATGGCAACCAATGATGAGATTCGATACTTGGGCTAGGTACATAAACATGTGATGGGTACTCAACCCTTCCCCTTACCAACCAATGGAATAACACATGGTGCAAAGAAGAACGAATATCTTACCCAAACAATAAAAAATACAATACACAATAGTTAATTAATAAAAAGAATGGTTTATATGACATGTTTCATCATCAATATAAATTACATTTGTACTTCACTTAACCCAGAACATTTTATTTTAATTGCCACTTTGGGTTTGACATAAAAATGTACCCGAAAATAATTGGAATGTTCATCTTTATGGATTTGCCAATCAACCTGTCAAACTCCGCCTCATTGTTGTTCACTTTATGGATTTGCCAATCAACCTGTCAAACTCCGCTTCATTGTTGTTCATCTTTATGGATTTGCCAATCAACCTGTCAAACTCCGCTTCATTGATGTTCACTTTATGGATTTGCCAATCAACCTGTCAAACTCCGCCTCATTGTTGTTCATCTTTATGGATTTGCCAATCAACCTGTCAAACTCCGCTTCATTGTTGTTCATCTTTATGGATTTGCCAATCAACCTGTCAAACTCCGCTTCATTGTTGTTCACTTTATGGATTTGCCAATCAACCTGTCAAACTCCGCTTCATTGTTGTTCATCTTTATGGATTTGCCAATGAACCTGTCAAACTCCGCTTCATTGTTGTTCACTTTATGGATTTGCCAATCAACCTGTCAAACTCCACTTCATTGTTGTTCATCTTTATGGATTTGCCAATCAACCTGTCAAACTCCGCCTCATTGTTGTTCATCTTTATGGATTTGCCAATCAACCTGTCAAACTCCGCTTCATTGTTGTTCACTTTATGGATTTGCCAATCAACCTGTCAAACTCCGCTTCATTGTTGTTCATCTTTATGGATTTGCCAATTAACCTGTCAAACTCCGCTTCATTGTTGTTCATATTTATGGATTTGCCAATCAACCTGTCAAACTCCGCTTCATTGTTGTTCACCTTATGGATTTACCAATCAACCTGTCAAACTCCGCTTCATTGTTGTTCATCTTTATGGATTTGCCAATCAACCTGTCAAACTCCGCCTCATTGTTGTTCATCTTTATGGATTTGCCAATCAACCTGTCAAACTCCGCTTCATTGTTGTTCACTTTATGGATTTGCCAATCAACCTGTCAAACTCCGCTTCATTGTTGTTCATCTTTATGGATTTGCAAATTAACCTGTCAAACTCCGCTTCATTGTTGTTCATCTTTATGGATTTACCAATCAACCTGTCAAACTCCGCTTCATTGTTGTTCACTTTATGGATTTGCCAATCAACCTGTCAAACTCCGCTTCATTGTTGTTCATCTTTCAAAACTTCTCTTAATGTTGAGTGTTTAATTAAACAAAATCGGCAACACATTTTATAAATTAAGGAAAATGTGACCAGGGAAAAAGCAGCTTCGTTTATTATTTTGGACTTTAATATAAATTTCTCAATTTTGATATTTTAGACTTTTAATTCTCTGGGTTTTATAATTCATATTATGTTCGTTTCTATTTACATTTCATATCCAGGACTTAAATCAACATGCTTTGATATGCATTTAATTCTCAGTTTGGACATTGAGTGACATATTTCACTCTGTTAGCTAATTAGTGACATTTTACCCTTTTCATAATTATATGTTTTTAAATATCATAATCAGATTAGTAAATTAACTTTATTCTTTAAGTTCTAAAAATAGTTTAATCCTTGACAGTAAACAATATCACTCCAATCAATTGTTATTTGTTATGTTTATTCTTGTCAATTTAATTGTGTATAAATACTTGTTTATAATTTTCATGAGGAATATTTTGGACTCAGGACTTTACACTGAACACAGTCCATCTGTAATAGTTTCAGTAACGAGAGGCCATTCTGTCAGGCTCCTGTTACACAACCCTACATGTCACCCAGTTTCCCCGGTGACAAAAACCAAAAACTATTACGTAAGCAAACTCATTTTTACTATGAGAATGAGTCCGAATTATAGAAGTTGGTATTGGGTAATAAGACATACCGAATTGGGAGGAGTAATTTGCATCAATTCTTCATATTTTACTCTAAAATAATCCTGTTACCATTCTCCTTCGTGCTATCTGTATTTATATATAATGAACCGTTTGATCAGGCTAGCCGCTATCATCATTGCACATTTCCTGTCGTAATTCACTTGTTTTTGTTCAACATATTTTGGCTGATGTTTCATGTTTCTTGTTTCGGTTGTATACAAACAATATTGGTTCTACAACGTATACTGATACAGATACATATATCTTTTTTTAACCTACTCTGACATCAGACTCGGACTTCTTTTAAACTGGGTTTTACTGTGCGTATCGCTGTGCGTTTCTTTATTCTACATTGGCTAGAGGTATAAGAGGAGGGTTGAGATCTCACAAAACATGTTTAACCCCGCCGCATTTTTGCGCCTGTCCCAGGTCAGGAGCCACTGGCCTTTGTTAGTCTTGCATGTTTTTTAATTTTAGTTCATTTATATGTTTTGGAGTTTAGTATGACGTCCATTTTCACTGAACTAGTACACATTTTTATTTAGGGGCCAGCCAAGGACCACCTCCGGGTGCGGGATTTTCTCGCTGCGTTGAAGACCCATTGGTGGCCTTGGGCTGTTATCTCAATTTTATAGTAATGCATATCTCTATTTCAAGTTCTTCGCAGAGAAACACACATTTAAGTTTGATATCTACATTTCCCATCTTCGCTAGTCAATGGTTACGATCCAGTCCCTCCCTTCATCGTACATTTCCATGCTTATTCTATTTCGATTTCCTATTTCTATTTATCTACATCAGGTGTATGGCGGTAAATTTTCCAATTAACATATTGATAAAGTGATTGACATACATACTTCTATTGTCTTAATGCTTTTTAATCTAATTGCATCATTTTCTTTCTCGTTTATGAACTTGTTCGAGATTAAAAGACCTTCTTTACTCCTCATAACAAATTGCATATAAAACTTCTCTACGAAGAACGTGAAAACAAAATTATATTTCACAAATACGAATACGAAATATTTTGAGCCCGTTACAAAGCATATTTATATATGAGGGGCCTGATGGGTTATTTTCGTTCTTCGTGATCGGCGCATTTTCGCTATCGTGATCCGTTTTACTGCAGATTTTTTTTTTTATATTTTGGTGATCCGTGATCATGGAAATTTATTTTCTGTGAATCGTGATTGACAAAAACATCAACTCGTGAATCGTGATGAGACCCCCCCCCCCCATCAGGCCCCTCGTATATATAGAAGTATTTTCAAGATAAATGTATTAAGCAGGCATTGAAAATAAATAAATATCCTCCATTTAAGACGGTGTTAAAAAATAAACAGAATAATAACCATTGTGTTGTTACTCAATACATATATATATGGCACGCCTGAACCACTTTTATAGATAATCCTAGATTATCTCAGATAAACTAGGATTATCTCAGATAAACTAGCATTATCTCACTATTTTACATTAAGCTCAGATAAACCGGGATTATCTCGATTTTTTTCAGATAATCCCGATTTATCTCAGAATTTTAAGATAAACCGGGATTTTCTCAGCTTAATGCATATTTGAGATAATTCATTATATTCCTCACAAAATTAGATAAATAATTAACTGGAGAAAATCCGGGATTATCTGAAAATTCTGAGATAATCCGGGATTATCTGAGAATTTTGAGAAATCGATTAACTGAAAAAAAAGTAGCCAATAGAAAGCCACGACACATTGGAGGAAAATTTCATGGTCAAAAGGGATAAGATATATAGATACAATGGTGCATCTATACAGATAGAGAAGAATGAAAGATTACGCTCTTACGGGAAACGTTTTAGAAGTTTTAAATTTCCAAATTTGATAAAAATAACAATTGATTTATTCAGGATGTACATGTATGACAAGTGTATCGATAATAATGAAGATCAGAGGGATCTAGAATTTAGAAGTTTGTCTTGAGAGTTTTTTTTTAAGAGACTTTGAATGTTATATCCGTATTTGTCTTTATGAAGATAGTGAAATATGTTACATAAATCTGGCATCCGCACAATTAACTAGGACAAATAACTAAAATGTTGAAATAAGTTAAGCAAAGTTGAAATACACCATTTCGAAGTTCTAATGAGTTTTCTTTTAGAAAGTTATAATCTTTAAAAAAAAAAATATCACGCGCCGTTTTTCTTTCCTTAATTTTCCCTATTAAAAGAGTAAAATATGGTGCAGGAATTTATCATCCATTTATTGCAAAGTGTTACATTTTAGTACTTACTTGGTAAGTTGTATAAAGTGTTTGTTGTCAATTAGATAATCTAATCATGATAATGACAAATGCCCAATACCTGAAATATTTATTACCTTACAACTCTATTATATTGTTAATCAGTTTGTTTTTAACGACACGTGGCCAATGCATAATTAACCTTTAAACAAACGCTGTTAAAACGGGGTTTTGATCCCTGAAGGACGCCACACTTTGCAATGAATTAGATCTATATTTGTTAACGTTTTCAAATTAAATAAACTGAATGGATTTCTTAAAATTCTCAAATCGCTTTAATATTATTACAAACAAAACGAAACGTTTATTTAACATTTTTTGCAACTTTTATCTTTATTTTTGTTCTAAGAAAACCTTTCTTGCTTGGTTAACTAGTATGTGTTGATTACCGTCACTAATTACTAAAGGTCAGACGACCTAATTAAGTATTTGTATAGACCTAATCAACATGATAATTGGTATCGAATATGATCATCGGTCATGCATGACATATTCCAAATAACGGCGCGTGTTAATAAACACTTCAATAACTTCTGAAATATTCAATTAATTTTATTCAAACAAAAATATTAAGATAAAAAAATAAATATTTTATCGGACGCATACCCTCAACGCCCACTAAAATATCTATTACATGTCCTGAGTGCACTCAGGAGGCCCTGAGTGGTTTTAAAACGTACCGCAAAATTATTACTTAAAATAATTTTTGTTGACTGTTAAATGAAATACATTTCAATTCATGGAGTGTCAGTGAGTTATAATATATTTTACAAATGAGGGCCCCACTTTGGTAGTCCAACTTGAACACATTGAGCGATCGTATATATGCAATCAGGAACAGATGTATCCACGAAATTATATTATTATTTTATGAACTTGCCTGCTTAAATAAATCATGTTTTAGTTATAACATACACTTTTAATGTACTATTATTTATAAATCAATGTTTAAAATTCACATATATGTGCTTAGATTAAAACTTCATGTAATATTTTAATACTTTATTCTTGTAAAATTTTTCATTAATAAATACTGTTTAAACTAAGATTAAAATTTCATGTGTCATACGGTCATTCCAAGTGTCATTCGGTCATTCGTGTTACGTATCTCCAGTACTTCTCTATGGATAAGAGCTAAAACTACCAAAAACAAGTTCACCAGAATTAATCGAAAACTTCCAGAAAAAGCTACTAATAAGCTTATACTCTCATTACCAACTTATGTAGCAGATGTTACTATCAACATCCTAAACGGAATACTACCAGTAGAAGCCCAACTACATATCCGAGTACTTGGACTATTGAACAACATCTGTAATCAGCCCGAAAAAAGAATAGATAAATTGCTAGCTGACGACAACTTAAACTGAAAAATAGCCAAAGTTCTAGTTGCGTGTCGCTATAAAACATATGCCCGAGAAGTACGATCTACAAAATGGTACATGGACAACACCGTTTGTCGAAAAAGGTCCAGGGTACCGTTTCACAAAGCCTTCGTAAGTCTACGTGTCATCGTACGTTCATCGTAAATAAATCGTAGGTTTTACAGCCGTTTCACAAAGCCGTCGTAAGTTAAGATGAGAGTAAATAATACGTAAATCCTGGCGTAACTTACTACAGCTATACCCAGTCGTATCTCGATCGTAGTTTGTCCGCGAATATGAATTAAACCATATCTAAGATGGCTTTATTCTCGATCAAGATGCCGCAAATGTTAGAAGACGAAGAAGAATCTTCAATATTAGAACCACACTTTCTTCGTTTGATCATTTTGAAAATGAAATGGATATTATATCCAGATACAGACTGGATAGACACAGTATCAATTAAATAACATTGGCAATAGAACCAGATATAAAACATGATACAAATAGGTCCCATGCACTTACTCCTGAAACGCAGGTTTTGTTAACTTTGCGCTACTCACTGGTTCTCCGGTAAAGCTCCCATTTTATGACGCTGATTTGTCCCACCGTAACAAAGCAAAACTAACGACTTCGAGTTATATACCCGTAGCTTGTTATACCTATATCTGAGATTTTTATATTTCTTTATTATCTACATATTGCACAACGATAGTGATCGTACCGGCCGTCATAATGTTTTCTTCGTAAACCTGTAATTCCC